ACTTCGAAGGAGAATAATGCGTTCGGGGGAGATCTCATTTGGTGCGAGGAGGGAGGCGATCGGCGTTCCGGCATAAAACTAATTTATGTCCCTCCGAAATCCTTTTTTCTCCTTTAAAGAAATCCGTCAGAGTCACGAACACAATAACGCAATCTCTTTAAATCCCGGAGGCAGTAAAACGGCTAACGAGTCGTCCCGAGCGGCGTATAATTAGTTGTTTATTATTTCCATTTTGACGCGGCCTGGTTTATCGCCGAGGCGAACGCGCTCCTTTCGGAAATAAGACCGTAAAAATTAAAACACATAAAACCATGATGTTTATCTGACCGCGGATAGTTTTTATACAAATACCGGAGAAAACATAATTGTTTTTCAGAGGAATGGAACATCGAAGATAGGGAGGCAACAATGGAGATTCTTAATGAGAACGTCCCTCCAGGCCAACCTTCTTTTTCAAATGTAATGAAAATACCAACCTTTCCGCTGTTTAATATTTACACATATTTGGTAAAGTCGGCCAAAATAGAAGTACAAAATCTGAAGTCTGGTACGGATCCCGATCAAAAAGCCTTGATATGTTTTTGACTTCTACAAATTTCAATTGTAATCACGAAAATATCAGAGATAGATGCACCAGATGCCTATAGCATAGAAACACCAGATGCCTAGAGCATAGAAGCACCAAAAGACCAGAGAACATAAGGACAATGTGACCAGAAGATAGAAGAACCAGATGCCCACAGGATGAAAGCACGCGAAAACCAGAAAATAGAAGGACGAGGTTGCCAGAGGATAGAAAAACAAGATGAACAGAGGGGAGAAGGTCAAAGAGAAAATAGAAGGACGAGGCGACCAGTTGAATAGATTGTCAACATGGCCAGAGGATAGACAAACAAGATGACCAGAAGGGAGAAGGGCAAACTGTAGTTACAAGGTCAATATGGCTAGAGGATAGATGCACCCGATGTCGAGAGCATAGAAGCACCAAAAGACCAGAGGACATAAGGGCAATGTGACCAGTAGAAGCACCAGTTGTCTTAGAAGTACCAGATGGCCCTAGAATATAAGGTCAAAATGTCTAGAGAATGGAAGGACAATGTTATCAGAGGATAGAAGAACCAGATGACCAGAGGATATAAGGTTAAGATTACCAGAGGTTAGAACGCAAGATGGCCAGAGGATAAAAGGACCAGATGACCGGAGGATAGAAGGACATCCCCCGGGCAACTTAACCTTTTTTCCTCTAGTTATCTTTTGTTCTCCTTTGGACGTACTGTTCATTCTCCTTTTTATCTAGCCGTTCTTTCCTCTGTGCATGTTAAACTTATCTTCTCCTGGCATGTTGTCCTCTCCACTGGTCAATTCCCATAGTTATCATCTTTCCTTTCCACTTGGCATCTTGTCTTCCTCCCCTCGAGTGATCTTCTGTATTAGTCTTGTTTCTTTCTTGTCCTTCATCCTTTGGTCACCTTGCTCTTCTCCCATTTGGCCATCTCGTCCATTTTTTTACCTACGTCTTTTTCACCTTATCCCCATTTTTTTTTTCATTTGGTGAGATTGCCTTGTCCTCTTTTTTATCGTCTTCTTTCTCCTCGTCGCCCTTTTCTCCTCTTTTCTTGTCGTGTCCTCCTATCGACACTTTTTCCTCTAGAGGCTTATTGTTTTTCTAATCTCTCGTCTTCTCGACCTTTATTGGTCTTACTCTATTCTGGATATATATTTCTGCTTTCTTCTTGTCTTCTTGTTCCTAGATCATTGGCCCCTGAATTGCCTCGTCCCTCTATTATCTTATATCTTGTTCTTCCATTGGACATTTCTTCTTCGTTCTTTTTTTAATTTTTTAAAATATATTTTGGGTATTTTCCTTTTCCTGTGTCATCTTGTCTCTTTGTCCTCCTGCTCTCGTGTCAAACTATAAGAATCTCATCCTCCCGGACATCTGGTCCTTTTGTCGCATGGTCCTATGCCTTGTGCTAATTATCTCGTTATATGCGTATGTTGTCCTTCCTCTGTGTCGCGTTCTTCTCCTGTCCTCTCTTGTCGTCAGTTTTGGAATTGGATTTGGGTTTGGACAATTTTCAATTTGTGAATTCTCCCAGGCTTTTAAAACTGACACTGATAACAAAGCCGTAAATTGAATTTCTAGAAATTTTACTAACGTTATTGTTAATGTTATCTGGCAGGATTAAATACCTTTTGGATGTCTACTTCCTGGAATGTAGACTTTCGGGATGTCCAAACCATTCAGCATACATTTCCGATGAATCACCTTCATAAACGGAAACGAAAAGTCTTTTGTGCCTTGCGACATACTTCATATATGATGACTACTTCAAGATATTATATCATTATATAATAAAATATATAATATAATGAAATCGCGAAAAAAACTCCCCGTAGGCTGATAGAAAAATTTATGAGTATAGAAAAGAATCGCTATGGGAAATTAAGTGTGAAAAACAAGAAAGTGCAGAGCGAAAGAGAGAAAGAGAGATTTAATTGGAAATAGATTAAAATCATCATCATTAGGCAAACTGAATTAAAGATGAGCCGAGGCCATTATCTGTCTTGGGCTTCTCTTAATTCTATTTCTTTCCTCCCCTCGTTTTTTTTCCTTCCCCCGAAGTCGGTATGGGGGACAAAAACGTCACACCATAATAAGAATTAAGTTTTAAATCAAAGCCGGAGTCTTCAATAAAATCAATTGTCAGGTTCGGGGATAATCGTCACGTCGTCGGAAGAAAAAAAAAATACAAGCAGATAAACATCGATGAAAACCGATCCGTTGACTCTCGGCGTGAATTTATTTGGAATTTTTCACCCAGGATGTCGTAGGAGGAATGATAGACTACTTGATCTAAAGAATAGCCCGATCTACAACTCAGAATGAAAATAAATAAACAATCTAAACGCAGCGATGCACTGCTTTCGTCTCTGTCTTTAATCTTTCGCAAAAAAATTAAATTAACGATAGTCATAGTCTATATTTTTACCCTGATACCTCGATCAATAATACTACATATTTTAACTTGCCTAACTAGACACTGTAGTATTTCTAATGTCTTGTCCTTTGGCTCTCTGGTCATCTTGTCATTTTCCCTTGTCGTCTTGTCCTTCTTTCTCTCTAATTATCCCTTGTTCTCCACAATCATCATGTCATCATGATCTCCTATCCTCTGGTCATCATGACCTTCTATCGTCTGATCTTGTCCTTCTGTACTTTGATCATCTGGTAGTTCTTTTCTGTGATGATATTGCCCTTCTCTTCTCTTGGTATTTTGTTCTCCTCCTGTGTATTATTTTCTTCTCCCCTCAGATCACCATGTCCTTCTATCCTCTGGTCATCTCGTTCTTATCCTTTTTCCTCAGATCATCTTGAACCTGTATCCTCTGGTCATCTTGTCCTTTTATCCTCTGGTCATCTGGTGCGACTGACTTCCAGCATTCTTCTGGAATTACTATCCTCTGGTCATCTCGTTCTTTCCTTTTTCTTCAGATCATCTTGTCCTTTTATCCTCTAGTCATCTGGTGCGACTAAACTCCAGCATTCTTCTGGAATTACTATCTTCCAGTACCCCTCTATACTCTGGTTAACTCCTCCTTCTATCCTCTGGTACTTTTATCTTCTGGTCATCTTATACTTCTATACTCTGGTCAAGTAGGCCTACTTTTCTCGGATGGGTCTCTCCTCTCGGTATTTTGTACTCCTCCGTTTTATCATCTCCTCTCTCCTCAGATCACTTTGCCTGTCGATCCTCCTATCTTCGGATTATCTTGTTCATTTCCCTTAGGTCATATTTTCCTTCTCTTTTTCGGTCACCTCTTCCACTCAATCTTTATATTTTTCCTTTGGTAATCTTGTCCTTTTATCCTATGGTCATCTGGTGCGACTGACCTCCAGCATTCTTCTGGAATTACTACCTCATCTCGTTCTTATCCTTGTTCCTCAGATCATCCTGAACTCGTATCCTCTGGTCATCTTGTCCTTTTATCCTCCGGCCATCTGGTACGACTAACCTCCAGCATTATTCTGTAATTACTATCCTCCATTACTTCTATACTCTGGTTAATTCGTCCTTCTATCCTCTGGTGCGTTTATCTTCTGGTCATCTTGTACTGCTATACTCTGATCATCTGGGCCAACTTTCCTCGGATGGGTCTCTCCTCTGGGTATTTGTACTCCTCCATTTTATCATCTCCTTTCTCCACAGATCATTTTGCCCTTCGATCGTCCTATCTTCGGATAATCTTGTTCATTTCCTTTAGGTCATATTTTGATCTTGTCCTTCTCTTTTTCGGTCACGTTTTCCTCTCAACCTTTATATTTTTCCTTTGGTCACGTTGTTCACATCTGGCTCTATATTTGTACTTTAGTCAGCCATCTGGTCCTGATCATTTGGTCACCATATCCTTCTGTTTTCCTTTCTTTCTTGATCGTTTTATCCATTATCCTTTGTTTTATTTTCACGATTTCTCGGTTTGATCATTTAAAACAAAATCCGATAGGTAAACAAATTTTATTGATTACCAAATGTGGTCAAATCTCCTTCCAAATCTTTATAAAATTGGGGAAAATAAAACAAATTATATTTATGTAGTAACCTTTTATTGTATGTATTTTTTTCTTGGTTGGCGAGCTTTATAAGTGAAAAATCCACAAATTATTGTGTTGGATTACGGCGGTTTATCTGTTTTCGAAATAGGACCGATCAGTTTCTGATCCCTTTTGACAACGGCAAGTGGTTGATTTAGATAAAGAAGCCACGTGATTTGTGACAATTGTTTAACAAATAATTTTGCAACTCCCTTTAGATAATATGTTTTTTTCTTTTCTGTTCTATAATACAATTCATATAACGTTTCACCCCAGTTTCCCTTTTTTGGGGGCTGGGGTGGCGGTTTAAGGGAAAACAAAAATAACATGTCACATCTTAATGCGATGCTCTTCTTGATGCGTTGTGACAGTTTTGTTTTATATGACGAAAATTTCTATTTTCCAGGCGTGTAACGAGTTCACGACGCACGTAATGAACCTCCTGAGGGAACAGTCTAGGACGAGGCCCATCACGCCGAAAGAAATCGAAAGAATGGTTCAAATAATACATAAAAAGTTCTCTTCGATACAAATGCAACTGAAACAGAGTACCTGCGAGGCCGTCATGATTCTGAGGTCGAGGTTTCTCGACGCGAGGTAAATATGCGCTTTTATCAGTCCATTTATTTATGCCTGATGATAGTTTTTAACCCTGACATTAAAAAAAAAAAAATCATCAGGAGTCTATATACACAATGTGTGGTGTTTAGTGATCATTAGCCAATGATTATTTGGAGATCGTGAGGTTCGATCTGGTGTGACGTAGGTTTTAGAAAAACATTTTCTTTATCGTGGCAACGTTTCGATCTTTATTGAGATCATCTTCAGGGCTCAAAGTGACTCTCAACACGACAGACAAGAATGACACATCTACAAAACAAAAACAATGTTTATAAATCCCAGGCTCTGAAGATGGTCTCAATAAAGATCGAAACGTTGGCACGATAAAGAAAATGTTTTTCTGAAACCTACATCACACCAGACCGCACCTCACGATCTCCAAATAATTATGTACACAATGTTATATCATATTTATTCATTCACACTTTTAATGGAGTTATACTTGAAAAACTTAAACGTTTTCTTAAGTATCAAGCAGAAAAACTTTCATCCTACAGAAGAAAAACTTAACCAAAATTTATAAGATTACAAAATTAAATATATTTAATTAGGCCTACTTCCCATATAAGTATGTTAAACCATTAAAAGTTTATTTTTCACTATTTTTTAAGCATGTTATAAATTCCTCTTGTTTTTCCTCTTTCCACATGTCATCTTGCACTGTTTCTATTGTTCATTTCGTCATATCGTATATTGCACTCCTTCTCTTGTTGTTTGTCATGGGTTCTTCTTATCATCTTGTAGATTTCCACTTTTTTTAATCCTCTTGTAAGATTGCCTATAGTCGTCTTTTTTTCCTCTTTTATTACTATACTCATGTCGGTTTTCTCTTTGTTCATTTCTTTTTGAAGATTTTCATGTAGACATCTTATCTTCTTCTAGGGGGATTCACTAGCAGATTCCCTCTTGTTTTCTTTCCCAATGTAGATTTTCCTTGTGTCTTCCTATCCTCGTGTCGATATTTTTTTTCTTTTTTTTTTTGTCATCCTCTTGTGGGTTATCTATCCTCTTGTCGCTTTATCCTCCTGCAAATTTGCATGTAGATACTTATCTTCTTGTAATTTCCATTTAGATAGCTTAACTTCTTGTACATTTTCATCTAGACGTCTTATCTTCTTCTAGGGGGATTCACTAGCAGATTCCCTCTTGTTTTCTTGTCTTCATGTAGATTTTCCTTGTCGCCCTTTGCTCATGTCGATTTCTTCTTATTTTTTCATCCTCTTGTAGGTTTTTCTCTTCCCACCTTGTCCTCCTTAAATTTTCATCTAGATATCTCATCCTGCAGTAGATTTACTCTTGTCTTATTGTAGTTTTTCTTTTATCTTCCTATCCTTATGTCGACTTCCCCTTCTTTTTTTATTCTCTTGTAGCGTTATCTCCTTGTAAATTTTCATATAAACACTTTACCCTATTGTAGATTTCCTCTTGTTTTCTTGTCTTTATGTAGATTTTCTTTTGTCTTCCTTTCCTCATGTCGATTTCACCTTCTTTTTTTCATCCTCTTGTAGGTTTTCCTCTTCTCACCGTATCCTCCTTTAATTTTCATCTAGATATCTTATTTTCTTGTAAATTTTCGTCTAGGCATCTTATCTTCTTGTAACGTGTGTGTGGTGATTAGTGACCATTAATCGATATTTATTTAGAAATCGTGAGAAGCGGTCTGGTGTGATGTAGGTTTCAGAAAAACAGTTTCTTTATCGTGCCAACGTTTCGACCTTTATTGAGATCATCTTCAGGGCCTGGGATTTACAAACATTGTTTACATATTACATTTTGGATGTGGAAAAGTGAATTTATACAATGCAAAATATATTTTATATATTCAATCAATAAGGTAAGAATGAATGGAAATTCAATCAACGTTGGCACGTTAAAGAAAATGTTTTTTAAAACCTACATCACACCAGTCCGCATCTCACGATTTCTAAATAAATATCTTCTTGTAACTTTCATCTAGATATCTCATACTTCAGTAGATTTACTCTTGTCTTATTGTAGTTTTTCTTTTGTCTTCCTATCCTTATGTCGACTTCCCCTTCTTTTTTTATTCTCTTGTAGCGTTACCCCCTTTCATCTAGACATCTTATCTTATTGTAGCTTTATTCACGTCTTATTGTAGTTTTTCCTTTTATCTTCCTATCCTCATATCGATTTCTCTCGTAGATTTTCATCTAGGGATCTTATCTTCTTGTAATTTCCATTTAGATATCTTAACTTCTTGTAAATTTTCATCTAGAGGTCTTATCTTCTCGTAATTTTCATTTAGACGTATTATCATCTTGTAAATTTTCATATAGGCACCTTATCGAAGATTTCCTCTTGTTTTCTTGTCTTCATGTAGATTTTCCTTTTGTCTTCCTTTCCGCAAGTCGATTTCCTCTTCTTTTCATCCTCTTGTAGGTTTTCCTCTTCTCGCCTTATCCTCCTGTAAATTTTCATCTTCGTCTTATCGTATTGTAGATTCCCTGATGCCGATTTCCACTTTTTTCTCCCCCCCCTTGTGATCCTTTTGTCGTTTATCCTTTTTTAGATTTCCTCTTTTTTTCTCCTCTACTGTTTTTTTATTTTTATTTTCCTCTTGTAGATGTTTCTCTTTTTTCTTATCATTTTGTCGTCTTTTCATCTTATCCTCTCTTGTTAGTCATCATTTCCTTATTGTTCAATTAGTTCTCTTTGCATCCTTGTGGGTTTATTTCCTTGCCCATTTATCCTTTTGTCTTTTTTTACTCTCACTTTTCGTTTGACATAATTTCATTTCGGCGTCTTATCTCGTTATTCTCTTGTCTTTTTTGCTGGAGTATTTTCATTACATCCTCTTTTCTTCTGGCCTTTTTTTGCCTTTTCTTCCTGATCCTCTTGTGTTCCCAATTTCCTCTGGTCCTCTTGTCCACTTGATTTGTGGCCCTCCTATCTCACTATTTTCACATCACATCTAGTCCTACAGACGTACTTTCACCATTATCTCATGTTTATTTTAATGTATTCTCGTCTGAAGTTTTTCTCCTGCTGTTCTCGCTCTCGTCTTCATTCTATTGTTCCAGTTCTCTTGTTAATTAATCCTTATGGCATTGTTAAAATTAAAATGGAATATACAAGTTTATTTATACAAGACATAGGGTTAAGGAAGTACACTCGTAATTAGTATCTTACAAGGGAAAAAAGTCAATAAAACCATCCCTTGGTATATTCAACCGCCCTTCTCTATCGACCCCTCGGCAGACTCCGATAAGTCCTCCAAAGTCACCCTTCCGTGGATAGTCGAAATGAGTGAAATATCTTTATGAAGAGGTCCTGTACATTGTGTTATTACGGGGGTGGACTGGCGGGGCGGCGGCACCCTGCGGTTTTATTAAGGCCTCCTTTTGATAAATAGGAACCATCATCCCCCCACTGGGCTCAACTTAACACCTCGCCCACCAAAGCCAGCCTCTTCGGCTTATCTCTTTTTAACAGTCTCTCCCCATCTACTCCTTTTTTTCAAGTCCCTTCTTGCTTTTTTCTTCTTAATTATTCTTGACTTATCGATTCGAGTTGACTTGTCTTCAAACACAATGAAATTCATGTTTTTAAACTAAAAAAGTATGTACTAATGTGAAAAGAGCCTATTTTGATATTCTTGTACTTCTGGTTGTTAAATATGACTGAAATTTAGATGAAAATTGTAAAACACAGCTAGACCAGACAGATTTTATTTTATAGAGCTTTTTAAAGACTAATAATAAAATCTAAAGGGTGTCAGTCTCTAATCAATTAATTTAGCATAACACTTGTTTGTGAATATAATTTCCCCAGATAAATCAACCGGAAATGGTTCGATTGTCCAATTAGATCTGAACGCCGTGTGACAGGTGACAATCAAAAATGATAAATTTCAGGCGAAAGGAAAAAGGCTAAAAGTGTTTTTTTCCCTGTCTAATCGAAGCGATAGCCCATATCAAGTTTTCGAGCGTAGTTCCAAAGTTCCAACAAACCATGACTGGGTCAGATAAAGCTGGAAAGTAGAGCATAAAATGCATTTTTCCCCATCCGGACGATGTTATATTAGGGGTTGTAAAAAAAACACACAAAAAAAAAGGGGGGGTGGCCTCTATTATGAAAAGTTAGGCAAATCCCGGGTATAAATCCTTGTATACATTCTCTCGCGTTCTGGAGTATTTGACTCCGATCCCGTGCCAATATTTATTCGGCCGACACGGCAAACATTTGTGCTCGCCATTTGTCACGGCTCATCCCCCTTTTCGTCGTGCGGGGGTGAATTTGGGCTCCTTCAAAATTGATTTTACCGTGGGACGTTGCTCCATTGGAGTAAGACCGCAGATCTGATATTTGGACATATTATTACCCTTTAAAGTACACAATAAATATAACTAAAAAAAAAACTTTATAAAATATTAAGTCTCTGCAAACCTTTGAAAATTTAAACAAATTTCTTATTCAAAATCTTAATTATATGCCAACTCCCATTTCGTTTTTTTCCTTTTGTCTTCTGGTCTGGTTGTAGTTTTCCCTTGCAACTGTTATACCATTATTGTATTATCGTATTATCGACTTGTCGTTGTGTCAGTTTTTCAGATTTTATACTTTCTGTGTTCTTATCCTCGTGTCATTTTGTCATATTAACGTTTTATATGTTTAGTGGTCGATTCTTGTCTTCGAGTGTTTTGTCATCTTATCATTTTATCGTCATATCCTCTTGACATTTTATCACATTAGGTCTTATAATTTTTTTTTTCAAATTTGGGATTGTCCCCTTTTCGTCCGATTCCTTTTTAGTTTTTTCAATTGTCGTCATATCCTGTTTGATTTTTCTATTCTGGATTTTTTTCATCTCTTCTTATCCTCTTGAAGATTTTCTTTTTGTTATCTTTAGCCGTACTTTCGTCTTACCCTGGTGTCGTCTTAATTTCGTCCTTTTTTCGCATTTTCATCTAATCCTTTTGTCATATTTTTCGTATTGTCATCTTATATTTTGGAGATTCGCTATATATATATATTGTAGTTTTTCATCTTGCGCCTTATACTCTTGTAAATTTTCATATATCTTCTTTTAGATTTTTCTCTTGTATGCTTTTCACTTTATCCTTTTGCAATATTTTCATCTTACCCTCCTTGTCGTCTTCATTTTATCCTCTTCGAGATTTTTTTCTTGTCGGTTTTTCCTTTTGTAGTTTTACTCTTGTTGCCTTATCCCCTTGTAGAGTTGACGATTTGTAGATTTTCGTGTAGATACTCATTTTACCCCCTTGTCATCTTATCCTCATCTTTCCGACATATCTTCTCATGGTTTGGGATTGTCCTTTTTTCGTCAAATTCCCTTTTAGATTTTTCAATTGTCGTCATATTCTGTTTGATTTCTCTCTTCTGGATTGTTTCATCTCTTTCTTATCCTCTTGAAGATTTTCATTTTGTCATCTTCATATTATTTTTAGGCGTACTTTCATCTTACCCTGTTGTCGTCTTAATTTCTTCCTTTTTTTGCATTTTCTTCTAATCCTTTTGTCATATTTTCGTATTTTCCTCTTGTCATCTTATATTTTAGAGATTCACTGTATATATTTTTTTTTCCACCTTGTCGCCTTATCCTCTTGTGGATTTTTCTCTTGTCCACTTTTCACTGTATCCTTTTGTCGTATTTCCATTTTATCCTTTTGCAATATTTTCATCTTATCCTCATCTTCTCGACATATCTAGTAATAGTTTGGGATTGTCCCCTTTTCATCCGATTCCCTTTTAGATTTTTCAATTGTCGTCATATACTGTTTGATTTCTCTATTCTGGATTTTTTCATCTCTTTCTTATCGTCTTGAAGATTTTCTTTTTGTCATCTTCATATTATCTTTTTGCCGTACAATCTTACCCTGTTGTCGTCTTTATTTGACCCTTTTCCGCATTTTCTTCTAATCCTTTTGTCATCTTTTCGTATTTTCCTGTTGTCATCTTATATTTTGGAGGTTCGCTGTATATATATTGTATATTTTCCTCTTGTAAATTTTCATATATTTTATAGACATCTTATCTTCTTTTAGATTTTTCTCTTGTCCACTTTTCACTTTATCCTTTTGCAATATTTTCATTTTATCCTCTTGTCATCTTATCCTCATCGAGATTTTTCTCTTGCCGGCTTATCCTTTTGTACTCTTGACGTTTTGTAGATTTTCTTGTAAATACTCATCTTTCGACATATTTTGTCATCATTTCGTTTTATTATCATTTAGTTTTCTTTGTACCCTTCTGTTTTTATTTTCTCGCCCACTTCTTTATTTTATATTTTTTTCTTCTTTCCTTTTTTATCACCTTACTCCCTTGTATTTTGTTGTTCTGGCCTTCCTTTTGTTCTTCCCTTCTTCTCATCTTGTCCTCTTTTCTTCGTGTTTCTTATCCTCTTGCCTTCCCAATTTCCTCTTACCCTCTGGTCCTTCTTTCACAGTGTCCTACATCTTCAGGACCCTTATGCATGGGTCATCCGACCATCATCTCTTGTTTATTTGTAAGTCTTGTCATTTTGCCGTCTTATTCAGTACCCTTTTTTTTCCTCTTACCTCCTTTCCTCTTCTCCTATTGTCTTAATTTCCTCATGGCACTTGTAGATTTTGTACTTATCGTCTTAACCTTCGCATTGCGTCAATATTTAACATACGAAATCGTGAAATGTGACTGATTAAAACATTTTACAAGGTGTTTCAGCACATTTGAAAATCTGATGTGAGAAAATAATACGTTTAGGAAAAAAAAAAGTTCGTTAAACCGTGGTTTAGCTTTGTTTTGAACGGATTGTATGAGTCCTGTTGTACGTGGGCGGACGATTTCCGCCCTGGTGCATCGAATTTTCTCCAACGCCCAATTACACAAATTAACTCTAACGATGCTTACAACAAAAAACCATTTTCCAATTGCACAGGGGGTGGAAAAGGGTATTAAAAAACATTTTGTTTAAATAATTCTCCGAAGTGATGCGAATATGGAATTGGCAAGGGCACGTCTCAGGAGGCGGTACATGTTTGATGAGGAGGAGCGGGTTAGGTGTGATATAAGATGGTTGTGATGTGTGGGGACAGTCGGGGGCAGCCGGGGGGCGGCGGGGGCGGCGTAGTGAGTGGGTGCATGTATAATGCATCCGGGTCGGGGGCGGCGCAGTCCCACGTGCCTCTTTCTTACCTCCGCCCCGGCTCGTAGATCCACCGGGCGCATCCAACATTCACCAGCCCTCATCCCTAACCGCCTCCGAGTCCACAACAAAAATTCACCTTTCATCTTTGACAATTCCTTCAGAAAATGAGAGAGAGTCTCATCTCACTTTATTCCAGATGGTTCATGTTTCACTAATACGGAGCATACACAGTATTTGTTATTTTCTTGAAGACTTTATGTTCAAATTCTCTCCTCTTTTTTAGCCTTACAGACCTAAAACTATTTCCAAACCCTAATTTTATTGGGGGGAGGGGTGATTCAATCTTTCATACCACTCAAAGCCATTATTTGACAAATCTTATCCCTATTGACAACCTGCCATTACAATATTGCTACTTCTACTATCTAACCTTCTTTTTTTTTATTTCTAATTGTAAACATTGTTCGAGATTTGAATTTTTTTTCAAAAAATAATTTAAGTAGGGTATATGACTTTGTAAGTGTTAAATTTGACTCTTTTTTTAAAACGGAACCAATTTTAAGGTATTAAATGTGACTTGTTTTGAAGCCACAAATAATTAACTTATTCAATTTTATTCGCTTTTTAAGCCACAATTAATTTTTAAGTGTCAAATTTGACTCGTTTGGAAGTCACAAATAATTTAAGTATTACATTTGACTTGTTTTGAAGCCACAAATAATTAAATTCTTAAATTATTACCTTTTTAAATCCACAAGAATTTTTAACAATTAAATTTCACTTATTTTGAAGCAACAAGTAATTTAAGTATTATATTCATTCGTATTTTTTGAAGCAACAAATAATTTAAGTATTACATTTTAGTCTCCTTTTTTTAAGTCCTATGTAATGTTCAAGTGTCAAATTTGACTCGTTTGGAAGCCACAAATAATTTAAGTATTACATTTGACTTGTTTTGAAGCCACAAATAATTTAAATAATAAGTTTTACTCATTTTGAAGCCACAAATAATTCAAATGATACATTTTACTTGTTTTGTAGTCACAAATAATTTAAGTATTACATTTTAGTTTCCTTTTTTTAGCCATAAGTAATTTTTAAGTGTCAAATTGGACGCGTTTAGAAGCCACAAATAATTAAATTGTTAAATTTTATTCTTTTTTCAAGCCGCAATTAATTTTTAAGTGTCAAATTTGACTAGTTTGGAAGCCACATATAATTTAAGTATTACATTTGACTTGTTTTGAAGCCACTAATAATTTAAATAATAAATTTGGCTCATTTTGAAGCTACGAATAATTCAAATGATACATTTTACTTGTTTTGTGGAAACAAATAATTTAAGTATTACATTTTAGTCTCCTTTTTTAAGCCATAAGTAATTTTTAAGTGTCAAATTTGACTCGTTTCGAACCACAAATAATTTAAGTTTTACTTTTTTTAAATTCACAAGAATTTTTAAGAATTAAATTTCACTTGCCACAAATAATTTGTTTTACTTTTTTAATTACTTTTTTTAAATTCACAAGAATTTTTAAGAATTAAATTTCACTAGTTTTGAAGCAACAAGTAATTTAAGTGTTATATTCGATTTGTAATTTTTGAAGCGACAAATAATTTAAATATTAAATTTTATTCTTTTTTAAGCCACAATTAATTTTTACATATTAAATTTGACACTTTTTGAAGACACAAATAATTAAATTGTTAAATTTTATTCTTTTTTTTAAGCCATGAGTAATTTTTAAGTGTCAAATTTGACTCGTTTGGAAGCCACAAATAATTTAAGTATTACAAGTATTATATTTTTATTTGTTTAAACCACAAATAATTTTTAAGTAGGTATTGAATTTGACTTGTTTTGAAGCCACAAATAATTTATGTATTATACTTGACTTATTTTGAAAACACAAATAATTTAATAATTAAATTTAACTTGTTTTGAAACAACAAATAATTCAAGTGTTATATTTAACTTCACAAATAATTTAAAAAAATTAAATTCAACTTGAAACCGCAAATAATTTAAGTATTAGATTTCACATGTTATGAAGCTTCAAATAATTTAAATATTAGATTTGACTTCTTTTTAATCCACAAATATCATTTGAACTTTGCAATAAAATATAATAAGTCCGAAATTGTATGATTTATTCTATTGCTAACAGTTTAAATTTATTTAATTATTAATTCATTAGACATGTTATATCTCCTTTTCTATGTAGTTTCTCTAGTTTGTCTTTGTTGTTTTTGAAAACAAGCGAATCAGATTTAATTTCATTAAAAGAAATTGCAAAATAGTTATCGCTTTCAAGGATGAGATTAGCCCATCCAGATCACAATTGGTTCTTTATTACACCAATCAATCATGACTGACATCTCAGACCCATAATTTCTATTTACTGTATAATTGCTCTCGAGTTTAAATTAAAAAAAAAAAAAAGATAAACTCACTTATATATTTTTGTTTGATCTTTATAATCCATGCACAAAAAATTGAGGTCGATTGGTACCTTTCATTATAATTTACTAATGTACAAGTTTTCTCTTGTTGTTTTGTTATAGAAGAAAACGACGTAACTTCAGTAAACAGGCATCTGAAATCCTCAACGAGTACTTTTACTCACACCTTAGTAACCCCTACCCCTCGGAAGAAGCGAAAGAAGAGCTTGCGAGGAAATGTACTATTACTGTCTCCCAAGTAAGAGAACAATTCATAAATTGCGTTATCATTTTTTTTTTGTTCTTGTATTTTTATGTCTATGAAGAAAGAAATTTTAGTAAATTTGTTGTAATTTTTTTATTTTGTTTTTAGGTATCTAATTGGTTTGGAAACAAAAGGATTAGGTATAAGAAAAATATTGGGAAAGCACAAGAGGAGGCGAACCTATATGCTGCTAAAAAGGCGGCAGGTGAGTGCAGAAATATCCAAAGTTAAAAAACAAAGAAGAAAAGACAAAGAGAAATTTGATTTTATTTTTGCTTATAAATACATTATTCCTCGACCGGATTGACAAATAGGCCATTAGGATTTATCTTTCAAATTGAATGTTTAAAGAGGGAATGGACTTGGTTTGTAAGTGAGGGCGGGGTGGCGTCGGTGTCCTCTGACACCTGGGTGGGTGGTTGTTTATTTACTTTGAGTGGTGATTGACAGGGGTGAAATGTTTAATTGTTCCCTCTCTGTCGTGTCATCACTTATTTACAGGCTCGGGATGTTGACACCGGCTGATTTGAGAACACGCTCCTTGAACGGCTCCAAAAAGGATTTTTAATTTTGATATTTTTTGTGCTTGGCAGTTGGCAAAGTTTTTGATTTTGGTTTTTTTTAGGTTCAGTTACCAAATCAGACTGGCTGTCTAGAAGTTCTGAGAGCCTGCAAGCATCCCAAACAAGATGTAATTATAAAAACAAATTACTTAAGACCATAAAAAAAATTTCTTTTTTATGTAATACTTTATTTTTCATTTTGTTTTAAATGTTAGCCTCATCATAGATTTCGCTTTAATTCTTAAACCACACCCATTGATTTTTCAGATGATCTAACTTTTATATTTATTTGTTTTATCATTTTCATATTGTTTACACTAGTTCACTTTTTAAAACATTTAGTAAATAAGGACTGGGAAAATGACAATCACAAGTCACCGGGTGGAAATAATGTATTTTAAGCAAACGGCTTTTAATGTATTAATGTTTGTTAATTTTATTACAAAATTCAATGATGTTAAATGTTATGATGTCCTATTTAAACAACAGACATCTAAAACCAAAATGACAATAAATACATAAATATATTTTTTTTAAATTTTGAAGTAAAAAAGCATTGCAGTCATGTTCTCTGTAAAGTTTAAATTTAATGTATTTGAGTCGTACTGAATCAATACAAATAAGGTTTGACTTGATACTTAAAAAAAAAATTAATAATAATTAAATTAAAATCGTTCATTTGTATTATTGCTACCGATTGGGTAATATTGGCTTATTTGTTTAACGTTTAACCATTCTTTATTAAAGCATTCAATTTGAGTTGTTTCAAAATGTTTTAAGTATTAGATTTCACTTGATTTGAAGCCATAAATAATTTAAGTATTAAATTTGACTTATTTCGAAGACACAAATAATTAAGTATTAGATTTGACTTTTTGATACCAAAAATAATTTAAATATTACATTTGAATCATTTCGAAGACACAAATAATTTAAGCATTAAATTTGACCGGTTTGATAACCACAAATAATTTAAGTATAAAAAATTTGACTTTTTTACATCCAAAAATAATTGAATTATTTGACTTGTTTTGAAGCCACAAATAATTTAAGTATTAAATTTGACTTATTTCGAAGACACAAATAATTAAGTATAAAAAATTTGACTTTTTTTATATCCAAAAATAGTTGAAATATTTGACTTGTTATGAAGCCACAAATAATTTAAGTATTAGATTTGACTTTTTGTTACCAAAAATAATTTAAATATTACATTTGTATCGTTTCGAAAGCACAAATAATTTAAGCATTAAATTTGTCCAGTTTGATAACCATAAATAATTTGACTTTTTTATATCCAAAAATAATTGAAATAGTTGACTTGTTTTGAAGCCACAAATAATTTAAGTATTAGATTTAACTTTTTGTACCAAAAATAATTTAAATATTACATTTGAGTCATTTCGAAGACACAAATAATTTAAGCATTAAATTTGACCGGTTTGATAACCACAAATAATTTAAGTATAAAAAATTTGACTTTTTTACATCCAAAAATAATGGAAGTATTTGACTTGTTTTGAAGCCACAAATAATTTAAGTATTACCATTTTTTAATTACTTTTTTTTAAAGCCACAAGAATTTTTAAGAATTAAATTTGACTCGTTTTGAAGCAACAAGTAATTTAAGTATTATATTCAATTTGTATTTTTGAAGCTACAAATAATTTGTTACATTTTTATTTTTTTAAGTCAAATAATTTTTAAGTAGGTATTAAATTTGACTTGTTTTGAAGCCACAAATAATTTAAGTATTTCCTTTTTTTTAATTACTTTTTTTTTAAGCCACAAGAATTTTTAAGAATTAAATTTGACTTGTTTTGAAGCAACAAGTAATTTATATATTTATATAACCAAAAACTTTATTTTATTTCTAACATTGTTATTAGCATTGGATGATAGCTTTGAATCAATTTTTCAATCTTCTCCAGGTTATTTAGAGCGTTTGAAAATAGACAATGAAGAATAAAAAATAAAAAAGCAGCCTTATAAGCTGTCCTGAATTCACTTTTTCAATTCATTTTTATTACCCAAGAGTTTATGGGATTGACAGATATTTATTAAGCCTGTGGTTTGAGTAAGAGAGAGAGAGAGAGAGAGAGAGAGAGAGAGAGAGAGAGCGAGCAAGAGAGAGTGAGTGAGAGAGAAGCAAATGTGACTTTTTACAGTGCCCTGTAAGCGATGGTCATGCCGGGTGATGGTAAAGGGGGGCAGCTCCAGAATGGAGTTAATATATCAGAGCTGTGCTGGTGACACCCTCAATGGCCGGCCCAATCCTACCCACCCCCTTATTTCTTATTACTCTCTCTCCCTTTCTCTCTGCTTCTCTCTCTCTCTCCCTCTTTACCTCGCATTCTTGCAAACTTCACATTCTCCAACCCCACAGAGCGCACGCAAACCTATTAACATAATGGGGCGAGTTTGCATTTATGAATTATAATTACACTTGTTTTATTAGGCCACTTCAGTTTCTTAGTGCTCGGATCTTCAGATAATTTGTTGGATAGAGAGTCAACAGTTAAAACCGACTGTGGGGGTTGTTATGGGTGAAATTCATTGCCTTTTTTTTCTCTCTCTCTCTCACACACAGACTTCCACATAAACTTAGTTTAAGAAATTTTACAATTTAATGATTATACAATAAACCTGAAAATAATACAAATTTTAAACAATAGTGGATTAGAAATCTTACAGTAAGCCTTTTTTTATTATTATGGTTTATTTTTAAAAACCTCAACCTCATAAACTCTCATAATTTTGTTTATATGTTATTAAGAACACATGATTTATTATTATTAATTTTCTTTTTAACAAAATATGGCTTACAAACTTATTTTTGATTTGTTCATTACACTAGGATTTATAATAATAAATATTGATAGCCTATGTTCTTTTTCTTCTTCCTATTGTTTTATTGGTTTCCTCAAATCAGGGGTAAAATGTGATCCAAATATTGTTTCTGTTTTATTAATAACACAAGAAATTATTATTGACTCATTATCAGTTATCAATTTTCATCTAGTGTATTGTTCGGTTGTTGACAGACTCGTCTTATCTGTGCACTTTTCTACATATTATTTTGGTTTTTTCTTTGGCTGCGAATGAAATTTTGTCAAAATACAATTGAACATCTTGTTTCTCTATTGTTTGTAGAAAATGGGATTTATAAAATAAAAATCAATTGTAGTATTTTATCTATAGTCTATACATCTATACTCGTTTTGGATGTATTCATTTTATCTGTGATGATTTTCTTTCTCCATATTATTTCAACTCTGTCTCTGTGTTTTCAGTGATAGTTCAACTATTTCATTCTTGACAAACATTTTAGCAAGTCTTGTAAAGTCTGGTCAAAGATTGTTGATCATAGTGAACAAAATTTTTTTTCTAAATATTATGAAGTTTTTCAATTTAATTAAGCTACTGAACTTTAAAGAATAACTGTGCAGAATTTTTTTTGATATTTGACATTAAAATTGTACATTAAGTCCTATATTTGATAATTTAGCAGTTTTTATATAAATTGGATTACCACTTGGATGCCTTATCACTTTGACAGTCTTGAATTAAATCTTGCGTCATTTTCTACACTGTTTGCACATTTTAACGCTCTTTTCCTTGTTTTGTTCCAGCGGGAGCGTCACCGTACAGTATGGGCCCTGGTTCGCAGGGCACCGCCACCCCCATGATGTCTCCAGCACCGCCTGGTGCGCCCCAAGACTCGATGGGCTATTCAATAGGAATAAACGGTGGTGATTACAGTTCGCCAATGTCCTCCGCCCAGGTAACTAGATATAATTTCTACAAATTTTTTTTAAACGATTTGAGGCTTTGAAAGCAGAAACTTTTTATATTTTCATATTAAAGAAAGTAAAAAATAAAATTTTAAAAATATTCTGGCCGGCTGTTTAAATTTAAATACTTCCTTCGGGCCAGATCCTGATGGAAATAGAGAGAAAACCTTTATCTCCTCCCCGTACGCAGCCCTTATTTGGCCGCATGCCAGGTATACTGTATAGATAAACTCCAAAACAAGCAGCCCCAAACATTTCCTCCATTATCCGTCATTTAACCTGGAAAAACTATTAATTCAAAAGTATGAAAAATTGTTTTTCTGTTTATCAATTTTTTTAAGCCAGGTGAATAATTTTTTTTTTGTAAAATTCTGTTGCAGACGCCATACTCGGATGGGAGCCTGGGCTATGAAGGGATGCATCAGGTGAGCGACTGATCACAGGTGACATAATCACTCTTTCAAAATTCTATAAATTATCGTTTAATTTTTATTTTTGTGACTAAGAAGTTGTACTGTCTGATGCAATTTTTATACACAAATTTATATAAGTTAAATAAAGAGAGTACAAAATGAAAAAAATAAATAAATAAATAAAATTAAAACAAAAAAGAATGTTTCTTTGAGTTTAAACTCCACCTCCTCGGATGAGGTGTTCCTTTTTTATTTACGAGAGCCACAAAAAGGTCTCTGGGGTTTATCCCGCAGTCGGTAATAAGGGGATAAGTAGGGCTCTGGAGACGGGGTGAGATAGGTGTTAAATCAACGTAAAGAGTTAAGATGGTCAGTAAAAGATGTCGCAAGTTTACTGGCAGTAACCCGGGACAAGAAGAGGCGAGTAATGAAAAGTCACCCCATCATGAGAGAATAAAACTGCCCACAACTGTTTTATGTCCCATACACCCCTTGCGATCCTCCTCCACCCTATCATCAAACCCCACCCTATCTTTTTTTTCCTTTTACAGCCTTCTTGCCGATACACTTGATTTATTTTTACAGTAAAGCTTGAATGTTTTGTATACGCCATTTACAAAAAAAATTTCTGCATCGGCATGACAGCTGCTGAGTTACATAGTGAATTAATTGAATTATAATTATTGTTACCGTTACTGTTTACTAACTTTTTAAAGTTTTTTGTTTATTCTTTGGAACGTTCCAGGGGAGTGGTAAGACATCAGGGTCACCTCCGATTCGTGGGGAGGGTTGGAACCCACCGAGGGAGCAGATCCCAGACTTCCAGCCACTACACCCAGAGGACAGTGGCGATAGCAGTGATATAGACATCAAACGCCCGAAGCTCTAGACACATCCCTCTTTCCGCGTCAAGCTGGTCCCTGTATCACATCACTCCCCCCTTTGTTTGGTTCTCATTGCGTTGTCGCGCATTAACGTTATTGAAACAGGTGCCAGCGGTTATGCGACCTTAAATGCACAGTGGTACAGCTTACGACAATTGTGATAGAGCAATCTAATTTTTAATGTTTAGTCTATAAGTGTTTTCTTTTTTCTTTTAGTTTCTCTCTTGGACTTTCACATTTCCGCATTGTGTTCATTAAATTTTTATATTTAATTAAGGGAGAATCTTTTTTTTTCTGTTATACTTTTTCTTTCATTTTTTGTGTATAATTTTGTCAATTTTTATGTTGAGATTTTTTTAAAAGAAAAAGCTGTACCTCTGTGCAAATGTTTGTATAATAAAATTGCAAAATAATTATTATTGGGGTTTAATGTGTAAAATTGTAATTGACGATTGTAGATGATTTGTTTATACAACTTTGGTGGAGGTTAGTTAGTTTTCTTTGTTGATTTTTTTTTCTTTTGGACCGGCACCTGATGTTGGTCGTGGCCAGTCTTTGTATTTTTATTTTTTCTTCCTCGCGCCTTTTTGTGTTGCTTATTTTTTGCGTCTTATTCATCAATAGACTTTTTTAACTTCTCGAAATATCCACAAAATACTGTTTTATGCTTCAATTCTTTGTCCTAGTTCAACCCAACAGCTGATTGAAAGAGTTAACATTAGCAAAAACCCATGATGAAGACTGATAACTTGTAACGATTGGTAAATAAAAGCATTAAAAAACTGTCAGAATCGATGGCGCATTGTCAATTAACGTAAAAGACATTCCCATAAAAATAAAAAATAACAATAAAAATGCCTAAACAGTTCAGTTTAATTTATCCATAATTTTTCATATTCAGTGTTCAAAGATTGTGCATAAAACATGTTTTCCCCCAACAAAATTCGGATTTCGAAATTTTCCAATTTAAAAATAAGCAATGAACTAAAACTTGTCGACGAGGCCTTCGAGAAATTTTAAACAAATTTATATTTGTACTACTTAAAATACTTCGTATACGAAGCAGAAGCCTGGATAGCAAAGGTTTCGAACAAATGACCACAAGTCGCTTATGTTTCTAAAAAAAAAATATATATATATATCATGTGTTTCGATGTATGTATAATTGTTTAAGCTCTCTGTACATAAATCATAAAACTAAGATAAGTTATGTAGTATAATGAAACACTATACATTTTTTTTTCATTTTATATGAAAGGGTTTTTTTTAAGGTAAATTATTTCTCAAGGATCGGACTTTTTTAACAAATGATAACAATTATAATTTTTTTTGCTTTTTATTTACTTTTTTTGGTCTGCGCACAGGTATTTGTTTATAAATTGGTAAAGTCATAGAGAAAAAATTTAAACCTTCAATTTCTGTTATTTTATGATTTTTTTTTTTTTTAATTTTGAGTACGTTTCAAATGAAAAGGAAAAACAGTAATAATTACTTATAATTTACAAATTTACCTCCACCAAAGGCCCTTTTCTTATTTGGGCCGAAAATTAATTTTAAAATTAAGGGAGAAATACAAAAAAATACAAAAAAACTATGCGGTTGTTCCTAAAAAGAACAATACGCGGTGATTAAAATGGTATACCAGGATTCTTCTATGATCCGACACAATATATGTATACGATTTTCTAAATAAAAAAAAATATTAAACAAAAAAAAAAGATAAAAACTAAAACAAAAATGTAATACATGTAATAATATTGTTATTCTAATACGTATATAAAGTAGTGTAATTTGAAGATTTTTTAGCATATATACCTAGGCAAAACAGAGTTTGTGTGATTACTAACAATTAGTTAATATATGTGTAATGTGTTTGGCCAGTATGGAATATTGTGTGGGACATGGAATTCCATTTGAAAATTCAAGCATTTCCATTAATTATTTAAAAAAATATATTTATATAGATATTGAAATAATTTAACTATTATAAATTTTAACAAGTCAAATGAAGTACCTCTTTTTTTATACAAAGTACAATAACAAATTAAAAAATGTAAAATTTATATTAAAAAAAAATGGTTATGCTTAAATTTTACTTTTGGCAGACTATGTTGGTAAAAGGGGGGGTGAAAAAAAAAACATGTGTATATTACATAATTACAATGAAATCGGGACCCCGACCCCAGACCCGGTGACGACTCTCTTGCACTCCTGGCGCTGGTACTCAGTGCGACCCCATCACCAAACACTCGATTTTGAGTATCCCAGTAACATACGCGCAAATAACACAGATACAAGATGAAATCTGAACAACTGAACACTGCCCCCGGCACACTCGATATTCCTGTGGAGCCTGTGCTTCATTCACGCTTTATTCATTTATTCAGTTAATCAGTCACGCTAATTAAAAGAAGAAAATTCTCGCTTATAAAAAAAACACTCGTACTCTAAACGAAAAAATATACAGGGGCGATGTCCCTGTGGAACAATCCGTGTCCTGCTGTTCTCCAAGGCCACGCATAGGTAGGCAAGTTCAACCTTTTTCTCTATATTAAAAAAAAAAATCTATTTCAACCACTCTTTCAGAACATTTTTAACTAATTTTTATTTTTGTTCATTTCAACTTTAAAACCTATGCGTCATCTTGTCACAGCCCTTCATCCCTTCGGCCCTGCCTTCTCGGGTCAGGGTTCGATGTCCTTTAGTTAAAGACAATGATCAATAACACAATGTATGAAAAAAAAATTTAAACGAGGCCTTTGAGAGATTCAATTTGATATTTGTAAAAAAAAAAAATAAAATAAAACTTCGTATACGAAGCGGAAGCCTAAAAGCAAAGGGTTTCTAAAATGACCACAAATTGCTAAAGTTCTAAATATCATGTTTGATGTACGTATACTTGTTTAAGCTCTCTGTACATTAGACGTTAAAACTAGATAAGTTATTTATAACACTAGAATTTTAATATTTATAAACTCAAATAAATATTAACAAAAACAAATTGTTATCTTTAAAGAAAAAAACACTAAGAATTTTACAAAAAAAAATGTTTGTATATTAATTATTGCTTTTTTCCTCTTTCAATCTTAGTCTGCTGGTGTTATTTATTAAAAAAGAAAAAGAAAAAAAGAATATAAATTGTAATATGTATATATTGTTCTTTCAATATTCAGTTTCTATATTAAAAAAAAAAAAAAAAACAGGCCCAAAATAATCAAATTTATTTTTTAAATAATGCCTGATATAATAATGTCAAAGTATGTTAGCTTATAATTTAAAATTCACCTCCACCAAACGCCCACTTGTCAGGCGGAGACTTGAAAACCATAAAAAGCGAGAGAAAAAATGCGGTTGTTCCTAAAATAAAAAAATAAAAAAAAGAGAGAGAGAGAAAAAGCAATCCGCGGTGATTAAGGATATACCAGGATTCATCTATGATCCGACACAATATATGTATACGATTTTTTAAAAAAGTAAAAACTAAAAAAATTATACAAAAAATGTAATACATGTAATAAAATATTGTTATTCTAATACGTATATAAGGTAGTGTAATTTTTGAAGAATTTTTTTTGCATATATACCTAGGCGAAAAAACAAGAGTTTGTGTGATTACTAACAATTAGTTAATATATGTGTAATGTGTTTGGCCAGTATGGAATATTGTGTGGGACATGGAATTCCATTGGGAAAATTCAAGCATTTCCATTATATATATAAAATAAATGATTTGATATAACAAAAAAAATGAAATACCTCCTTTTTATACAAGTACAATAAGAAAATTAATTTTTATTACCAACAAATTTTTAAAAAAATGGTCATGCTTCAATTTTACTATTGGTTGAAGGAGGGCGAGAATGTAATATACTACGTAATACCATTGCAAATGTGATTGGGTTACTCTATGTAGCTTTAACGATTGGCTCAAAATCATTTAAAACAAAAAAAATTTAAAAAAAAAAAAAGAAAAATAGGGAGCCGATGTGTGTTAAAAAAAAGTTACTTGTGGCTTAAAGGTAAAAGGGCTAGGTTTAAGTTGTTCTTTTCATTTTCATCCCCTGTCTTGAAAAATCCGTAAATCTCAAATACAAAAAAAAAAAAAAAACCATTCGGCATAGAAGTCGAAATAATGAAAATTACCGCTAGCAGCTTAATGTTTAGGACGCGATGTACGAGTTAGAAATTGGAAAATCTTATCTCATAGCCTCCCATTAGCACTTTAGGCATAGAGGAAAAGGAAAAAATGACTTGCCCACATTAATTTATTGTAAGTTTACTTTTAAGGCATTATATTAGTGATTCATAATGTATGATTGAAGTGTGTGTTGTAAGCGCGGTTAAACCTATCTGTTCGATACTCGTGTATACAAAGAAAAACATTTTTACTAATCCGCTTTTTCTTTAATTTTGCTTTTCTCCCAATTGTTTATTTTTTTTCCCAAGGATTTCAAGAAAACAAATAGGCTTAACCCACGCTTAGAATATATTTATGTGCAAAAAAACATGCATTGAAGCATGGAAAGTATACGGAGTACGGTTGTAATTCAGAGCTATTTTTCATTCTGTGTACGTAAAAATTTTAGCGAGTAAATTTATAAAGTTTACAGCACGCAGAGGATTCACATTTATTGCAAGAATTTTAGTTTTCATCTCTATGTTCTGTAATACTAAAATTTTAAAATTATAATCATTGATGTTGAATATAAAATGGAGGATTTTTATTTAATCGATTCGCCCAATTCCCTCCTTATTAATCCTTACCCTTAATCCTCAAATCATCTTCTGGCATTATTGGAGATAAAAGTAACAACGACAATAATAAAATACCAGTTTTAAAAATTAAAAGGTTGGTCACAGAGATAGCTGGGAACAAAGAAGCAGAGCATCCAAAGAAGTACCTTAAGATACTTCCCAATCTGTATGCCATTAAAGGCATGTAAAAGGAAAATGGAAAAACTGCTGGGCTCGTAAAAATAGCAATAACCATGCCAAATGTGGCAGATTGAGAAAGACGTCAGTCCCTGGTTTATTTCAAACTATATTTTTACGAACCCCAACATACTTATTTTATTCACTAATTGCATGGTCCACTTGACCAATTAATATATTACAATTAATTAAGGTTTTTTAGTTGAGATAAAAAAGTCAATGGCACGAGCGGGATTCGAACCCACGATCTTCGGCTAGATATGCCGCTGCTCTACCACTTGAGCTATCGTGGCCTCGATCCTCTCAGACTCTAACCTCTCATCTCTTGAAAAATGGCAAAAAGGAGGGAAAATTCAAAAGGTGGGGTTGAGATGAGAGGTTAGTGTCCGAGTGGATCGAGGTCACGATTGCTCAAGTGGTAGAGCAGCGGCATATCTAGCCGAAGATTGTGGGTTCGAATCCTCGTGCCATTGACTTTTTTATCTCAACTAAAAAACCTTAATTAATTGTAATACTTATTTTATTTAGCTCTGCCTTGGAAAGAAATAATGAAGACAAGCAATGTGAAACCTTGGTTATCCAAGCCTATACCCCGAATATAATAACAGCGTACAACAGTTTGTAACAGGTTGTTATTAAATACGCCAAAGCTCGGCTGCCTGTTATACTTACAGATGGTTCCAATCAAAAAGAGGGACTGGTACGGGGGTACTAGATGTGAATAGAAAAGTGTTGTGATCCAGAAGAAACTTCCAAACATAGCTACAATTTATTAAGGTTTTGGTTGAGATAAAAACGTCACTGTCACAAGCGGGATTTGAACCCACGACCTTCGGCTAGATACGCCGCTACTCTACCACTTGAGCTATCGTGACTTCAATATCTCAACCAAAACCTTAATAAATTGTAAAGAATTTATTTGGTCAAGTGGACCTCGAAACCTGATAAAATGTAATAAGCAAAATGAAGTATACTTCACTAAAGCTCTCCGTGGCCATTTCATTTGTCGCCGATTACACATTTTGAAAAATGGTAAAAAGGAGGGAAAATTCAAAAAGGTGGGGTTGAGATGAAAGGTTAGTGTCCGAGCGGATTAAAGTCACGATAGCTCAAGTGGTAAAGCAGTGGAGTATTTAGCCAAAGGTCGTGGGTTCGAATCCCGCTTGTGATACAGACTTTTTTATCTCAACCAAAACCTTAATAAATTGGAAAGAATTTATTTGGTCAAGTGGACCACGAAACCTGATAAAACATAGCTACAATATTTACCGCAGAAGGCATAGCTATTTTGGAAGCCTTAAATCACATTCCCGCACAAAACTCAATTATTCTTTCAGACAGCAGTGTAAAAATGGCAATTAAAAACCCAAACATCCTAAAGACCCGTTGAAACATTTAAAGATCAGCTGCTGTCATTAAAAAAAAAGAGGACTCTCCGTGTTTCTAATATGGATTAAAGGGCATAACAATAAAGCTTACAATGATGAGGTGGACCGTTTATCCAAGGAGGCAGCCCACAACGGTAGAACCTGAAATGTATCACCAGACTGATGTGGCTCATTTAGCAAATTTCGAAAGAGACATGCCTGAAAGAATATAAAAATTCCATGATAATTAAAGGAAAAATATATGTAACAATGCAACCGACCATACTGACTAGACCTTCGTTTATGAAATTTAATGGTCCAAGAAAGCTTTTCACCTCAGTTGCCTGCCTGCGACTGAATTATAACAGCTTATCTCCATAAAATAGATGTTCTTCTTACACTAGTGTGATGGAGAATACCTTGCTGACACTAGCCACGCTCTGCTCTCCTGCCCCATCTCGTCACAAGGCAGAGAGGACTTCTTTCAGATTCTAATTAAAAATAATATACCTCTATATAATTCTTAGCAAAATAGATGAAAAGCATATAATCCGTGCTCTCTATAAATTTATTACAAAAGAGAAGCTGGATATCTAGGTCTATGGCCAAATACACCCACCCCATATGATTTAAATTTGCTCTTTACTGACTAATGGCACCGTATCCATATTTCATGCTCCATTTTGTGTGAACAGTCTTGCTATTTGTTAATCTGCTTGGCCAATGGACAAAAGATCAACACCGTAACACAAAGAGTTACCAAATTAAACAAGATCAGAAATTAATGATTTTAATAAACACTATTTTATAATAATCATGATAGTTTTATATCATATTATAGATTTTTTGTGAATATTGTTTAGTAGATTCACTAGTTTTCGTGTCCACTTGACCAATTAAATCTTTCAATTAATTAAGGTTTTTAGTTGAGATATAAAAGTCAGTATCACGATTGGGATTCGAACCCACGATCTTCGGCTAGACACGCGGCTGCTCTACCACTTGAGCTATCGTGACTTCGATCCACTCGGACACTAACTTCCCATCTCAAGTCGCGAAGTCACAATAGCTCAACTGGTAGAGCAGCCGCGTATCTAGCCAAAGGTCATGGGTTCGAATCTCACTCGTGACACTGACTTTTTTATCTCAACTAAAAACCTTAATTAATTGAAAGATTTAATTGGTCAAGCGGACCACGAGAACTAGTGAATTTAATAAGTTAAAAAGAAGTATATCTTCACTAAAGCTCTCCATGGCCATTTCATCTGTCACCGAGAATCAAATAGATTACACAACATTTGAAAAATGGCAAAAAGGAGGGAAAATTCAAAAGGTGCGGTTGAGATGGGAAGTTAGTGTCGAATGGATCGAGGTTATGGTAGCTCAAGTGGTAGAGCAGCGGTGTATCTAGCCGAAGGTCGTGGGTTCGAATCCCGCTCATGACACTGACTTTTTTATCTCAACTAAAAACCTTAAATTAATTGTTTAGTAGGTCTCTCTCAGCTCGGTTACCGCTGTCTGTGACAAGTTCTTGGTCAACTTTTTCATGGTGGTCTTGGAGAGATACCTCGAACTGGAGGGTCTTGACAAAACCCAAACACATTGATATGGGGAGGGTAACGAAAAGCCAGACAAGGCAGCTAAGGCTGGGATATACTAACTTATAGAATCAACCAACACAATCCACAACTCTGATACTAAAAATGCAATAAAAAACTTGATTAAAAGAATGTGGCAGTGTGTGTGTTTGCAAACAGGATCTCACATATCAAGAGCACTGTCAATGGGTGACCCTCGTAGGATCTGACTCGTAAATAAGGGTTATCCTCACTATTAAGATAGGCATGCAACTTTGACACACGGACACTCGCTTTTGGGCCAAAGCCCACATGGAGAGGTTGCTTGATGTTTTCCTCCTAATCGAAGGGTACCACTCCTTGGCTCTATGCAGAGAACATATAGGAATGCCACGCGGTATGAGAATCATGCTTGAGCACAGCATATTTGGATCATATCAAGCCTGGTCTCCAAGTTCCCTCTCTGAGTCCTGTCAAATACAGTTAAAACTAAAAGAAAATCATCAAACTTCAGGGAACCAATTTGTTCCCTCGTTCACAGAATGTGTCCTATTGTGTCTGTGGCCACCCTGTCCTCGCTGCCCAGCCGCACTCCTTTCAATCACCTCAGCGGGGCTCCTCTGCTTCTTGAGTTGCCCAAGCGTTATCAACCCAACCCTTGAGGAAAATAAAAAATGCTTAAGATTATTCAAGTGTTTCATTACATGAAGAAATAAATGAATTAAGGATAACATCAGCAAATAAATAAAACAAATTATACAGTTAAATTTTTTTTAATAAATTATAAATACAATGATCAATATAAACATATATATAAACAGATGGCGACCGTGACTTTAAACGCTAGACTTTATATATTGAATTGTAATATTCTTCCTCTAGGTCGTAAAGGTCTGCGGCCATGTCGTCGCGCAGGTTCATAAGTTTTTGATCGCACTCTTGTTGCTTGCTGCGATACAGCTTGGAATTCTGCGAGATGCTTTCGTTAACGGACGGGAAGTCGTTTAGGATCAAGTATTGCTTTATGTCAGAGACTAACTTCATGAGCGATTCGCCTGCTCGGACCATGTTCGCTGCTCGGACATGCATCTCGTACGTGTCTTGCTCAGCCTGAGTGAAGCGCGTCAACTGTGTCTCGTTTTCTCCTTTCGCCAACTTGACTATCTCTGTTGAAAAATATAAATTATATTTAAATAAATACAAGGGATTTGCAATATAAAAAAAAGGTTAATAAAAAAAGAACAGCCTAAAAAGCCTTTACGATCATATTGTAAGTTGGTCCCTGTCTTAGCATAAGTTAAGAATAGTTGTAAGGAATTCAAACATATTTTCATAATTTCAAACCTAGAAGTCATAGAAATGCAACAGACAAACAGCCCCACTAAATTGGAGGAGTTATTTTCTGTGGAAAGCTTGTCACAGAGACTGTTCATGAAGTCGTTGTCACCATAAATTAGGGGTCACATCAGCCAGGGGAGTGTTGTACACTCTTCGCTGGAAGTCATCAACATGGGAATAGGAGCTGCTTGATGGAAACTCTTGAGTAAATGAGGATGATTTGAAAAATCAGTCAGTGGCTGATAATAGGGTTAATGAAAGGTAGCGGCTGAGAAAAGATATTGACTGTCCAGAGCTGAGATGAGTTGAATAGTGTCAACTATCGAGTGTCTCAGGAGCAGTGGACAGTAAGACGGACTTGGTCAGTCAGAGCCAGTAGGACTCAGTCAGCCGGAGTTAAGGACTCAGTGAAAGCATACAGTCAACAGCAGCCACAGTCAACCCAAGACTCAGTCAAGACCTGTTTACCCAAGGACCCGGTGAATGAGAGGAGTCAATAGCACCACAGTCCACCTGAGGACTCAGTCAAGACCTGTCAACCCAAAGACCCATTGAATGAGAGGAGTCAATAGCACCACAGTCAACCTGAGGACTTAGTCAAGACCTGTCAACCCAAAAACATGGTGAATGAGAGGAGTCAACAACCAACTCGGTGAATGAGAGGAGTCACAGCAGCCACCGTCAACCCAAGGACTCAGTCAAGACCTATCAACCCCAAGAACTCAGTGAATGAGAGGAATCAACAGTAGCAACACTCAGCAAGAGCTTCAACCAGTAAGGACCTAGCCATTGATACAAGTTGAACAGAGTCGACTGTTGAGGAGCCAGGAAGCTGTGGAAGATACCGAAGGATGTGGAAGCTGGTGTTGGCAAGCATCATTTGGTGTAAATCCTCTTGTAAATATGCACATCCCCAGAGTTTTTGTTATGGCTGACTCACCTTGGCTTTTTATTTGTTACAATATAAGACTGGGCCAGTGTAACAATAAATGTTCATGAATACTATATCTCTGATTCCTCCACATAAAAAGTAGTTACGTGCTGAATATTCTCCGATTGATTAGTGATAAGCACATAAAACAGTGTCTGCTTACAATATTGTACTTTTTTACTTCTAATGTAAATATCTCAATTGTTAGTACTTAAAAAAAAGAGGGCATTTGCAGCTCAAGCAGCAACCACAACTAGCAACAAGTGTTCTTAATATTAGTTTTTAGTCTTTGTAACACACAGCCCAACAATATTGCATCGTACTTCATTTATTTATTTAATTTTTTTGTTTGTTTAAAGACAGCCCAAGGCAGAAAAGAAACTTTCTTGTCACATAATTTCAAGCATAATTTACATTAATGAAAATGTAGTGTTTACATCAGTGGTTCCCAAACTTTTTTGACACATGGAGTCCAAAATTGTCCACGGACCCCCAAGTGAAAAGTCACATAAATGCATAGTACAAAAATTACAAATTTAAAAAAAAAACATTTTGTTGAAGAAGTATTTATTGAAATTATAAATTTCTATAAATTATAATATTAATTACTTTTGTTTAAAATAAAATATAAAAAAATTAATGACTTGGATGAACGTGATGAGATGTTATAAGTGTGTATATGTCCGGCTCAATGTTTGTGAGTAGCAACCGCAAATCCCCACGAGCACTAATTTCTTTTTTTTTTTTTTTTTTTTTTTTTTTTGTGGTTTATAATGGCGCTGAATCCATGTTCTACCAAATAGGAAGATGGGAAAACAGTCAAACAATTCTGTACAATAACCCATAATGCAGGATATAAAATTGGGATGTGTTTTTGTAGCCAGAATTTGTGGTATCCTTGTTCAAACATTTGTTTAAGTTCCTAATTTATGGATATTTAAGCTGCTCCTGTATTAGTATGGATTCATCTGCGTTTTGGATCTGAGTTTGTCCATGCGCGAAATGTTCAACACCCTGTCGGGAATATCCAAGCGAAGAATATCTTCAAATCTTCAGTTCAGGTCTGTAAGAAGAGCCGTTAGGTGTTGACAGCAAGCAAACAAATCTTCAACTGTAATTTGCAATCGAAAGATTTGGAAACTGAGAACGTTCTCCTCTTCCCAAGTTTTGTTTATACAGAAAAAGTTTTGCAACAAACACAGATATTACGCTTTTAGTTAAGATCAAATTTAATTGGTCACCTTGTAGTTTCAAATTAATTTTGTTAAATGTGGCAAATAAATTAGTCATATAGGCTATGCCATTTTTTGAGTTAATTAAATTGTGTCACAAATATTTGTTTTGTTTTTTTAACAGGGGCATCCAACAGCTTGGTCATGCCCAAGCACTAACATAATACCGCTACACACTTGATACACAATCACACCAATAAATACATTCATAGCTATATATGTTGATCGCACTTATACTGTTTGATAGATGGAGTACTCGATATTCCTCCATCTACCTGTTCACTACAATAAATAAACTAATCTAAATTGGGGTCGATGGGGTATTATAACATTTCCGCCATCAGCCCAAGTCATACACCCAACCTGAGAGGCGAAGGAGAAGCTGCTTGGCCATCAGCCCCTCCCCATTCATACCAATAAATACATTCACTCATACAAGACAGAAACACATAACTTGACTTCTATTGGGTTGTCCGGAAAATAATGCAGGATTTTGGTATTAAACAAAAAAAAAAGAAACTAGTTACTTTAAAGCAATGTTCTTTAATCAAAATAATTTCCCATACTCTCAATACATTTCTCCCAACGTTAATTCCGTCTGAGTAGAATTCAGAATTTTTAGAATTGATAAAGTCAATAAATGCATTTTCCAGTTCCGTTTGATTTTTGAATATTATGTGTTGTAAGTAGTGGTCCAGGTGTCTAAAAAAATGGTAGTCAGTAGGCGAGAGGTCCGGAGAGTAGGGTGGGTGAGGCAAAGTTTCATAGCCAAGCTCCAATAATTTTTGTGACGTTACACGTGACACATGTGGTCGAGCGTTGTCATGCAACAAAATGGGCCCTTTCCGATTGACCAAAGAGGGCTTCATTACTGCCAATTTCTGATGCATGGTATTAATTTGGTTACAGTATGATTCAGCATTGATGGTTTCGCCAGGATTTAAGAAGCTGTAGTGTATTAAACCAAATGAAGCCCACCATACCGTAACCATTACCTTTTTTTGATGAGTTGGGGGCTTTGGAAAATGTGGTCAGCGACGGTCGTTTTACTGACTTTGAGTTGCTCTGCAAGTTCTCGAACAGTTGTTTTGGGGTTTTCTTCCACCACTGATCGCAGAACATCATCATTAAGAGAGGAAGGCCTTCCACGACCTTCTTCATCTTCAAGGCTGAAATCTCCCTCCCGAAATTTTTTAAACCACCTTTGCACAGTGCACTCATTAACACAACCCTCGCCCCAGACTTGGTTAATGTTTCTAGCCGTTTGGGCTCCGCTTCGGCCGAGTTTAAACTCGTAAAAGAAAATCGTACGAAATTCTCGCTTTGACATTATAAGGATGACTGAATTATTTCCAAGTAGCGGAATGCTACAGAGGTAAACAAACAATATCATTTGGAAGAGGATTAATAAGTGTTGACATTCATACAAATGAGTAATCCTGTAAACGTAAACAGAATATTTTATATAGATTTTTTTTAATGAAAACTTAAAATCCTGCATTATTTTCCGGACAACCCAATATATACAATAAAAAATTCCCAATTCCCTTAAGAAGCGGAATAGGGGACCCTGAAACTCACTGCTGTGTACGAGAACCCTCTTTAAATCTGGCGGCATGCCTACTCGCGACTGTAGGGAGGCAAGGCACTACATGCTTCGACTATGTGGGACACATCGAGCAACCTTTCTCTGCATAACGGACACCTGCGGGGGGATTGGCCCACCAGCAAGTGCCCATGTGTCAACCGTGTATGGCCTATTCTTAATCTGGCAAGAACCATTACTTCTTTACAGCTCAGATCCATCTGCAGGTCGTGACCCTGCCCACTGACCTCCCATTTATCCCGTATCATCTTTTTTACAGCTTGTTCAGCCACAGAGGGCCTGATCGCGATGGTCCGGTCAGAAGGGTGAGACGTTCCAGCTTTCGCCGCCGCGCCCACACGTTCATTACCCTCCAGGCCGATGTGTCCAGGGAACAAGACAACAACCATAATTTTTCTGAGGCACTCCAATTCGGCATATCTTTCTAGCAAGAGCACGACCAGAGGGTCCTCAGAGAATCTATCACGCAGTGCCCAAACAGCGCTCAGAGAGTCAGTACATATGAGGAAGGCTGAACCCTCCTCTAATCTATTTAAACATGCACTTTTAGATAACTAAAGAACTTCTGTTTTACATTATATTATTTTATATTAAACCTTGGGCTTAATCCCTTATAAAATATAATTAAAGTCATATCAAAGAAATACTTTTATTCCTGACCTTTCTAAAGGTCGAAGGAACATCATATTAGCATGTAAAGTCGTAAAATGTAAATGAACAATGATAAAGTACCTTCGAAGTTTTCAAGCATGGACTTAACGTCGTCTTTCAGCCTTCCTGTGTAGGACTTAAGAAGGGCTTCCTTGCTCTGTGGTAAAGTCCTCTGATGAGCCATTGTCCAGCTAATAATTCGGATTTTTAGGTTTTATTGTTAAAAACGACAAATAATATATTTGATATTACATTGTCATAATAACAAACGCAAAGTCTGTCAAGCACAGGATAACAGTTGGGTAGACCCCCACTTAAGACATTCGACTGTACTTTCACCACATCGAATCGAAATTGAACTGTAGATCGATTCTAAATTTCCATGATTTAAAAAACAAATTTCTAATTGAAAAATAAATGTTTAATAAACGCTTTATACTTTAATTATTCGAAATTAACAAATAGAACACACTTATATCAGATAAATATTTTAAAAAAAGTCCACCTCAATTTCAGCTTCCTGTTTTAAAAAAGCCCTTAATACCTAAAGATAAAATGAATTTTCCTCCTTAAAATTGTTTTCCTAGTTTTCCAGAAAACTGCATTTATTAAAATATGTATTTAAAATTCTACAGATTAAAAAAAAGAATATTTCAGTGTAGAACAGTCAAACGAGGAAGGCCACGGAAGGACAGATTTAATTTAAAAACAAAAAATGGTTGATATGTTTATAAATTTTGTATAATTAGTTATTCTATAATATTAAATAATCGTTCTTGTCATTTGACTATTTTTTTCTGCGAATCCAGTCAGATCTTTTGCATTTCTACAACATAAAGCATGACTTTTCTACACTGAGGATGTAATTATCCTGAAAACTTCTCCTCCTTAGGACAGAAACCTTTATTTATCAAAATTTGTATTAAAAACCCCTTCAGATTAAAAAAAAAAAAAAGAATATTTCAGTGTACAACAGTTGAACAAGGAAGGCCACGGAAGGACAGATTTAATTTAAAAACAAAAAATGGTTGATATAATTTATGAATTTTGTATAATTAGTTATTCTACAATATTAAATAATCGTTTTTATCATTTGACTATTTTTTTCTGCGAATCCAGTCAGATTTTTTGCATTTCTACAACATAAAGCATGACTTTTCTTCGCTGACGATGTAATCATCCTGACTAGTTCTCCTGCTTAGTACAGGAACCTTTATTTATCAAAATTTGTATCAAAAACTATACAGGTTTAAAAAAATGAATATTTCAGTGTACAGCAGTTGAACAAGGAAGCCCACGGAAGGACAGATTTAATTTAAAAACAAAAAATGGTTGATATGTTTATAAATTTTGTATAATTAGTTATTCTACAATATTAAATAATCGTTTTTATCATTTGACTATTTTTTTCTTTGAATCCAGTCAGATCTTTTGCATTTCTACAACATAAAGCATGACTTTTCTACGCTGAGGATGTAATCATCCTGACTTCTCCTGCTTAGGACAGAAACCTTTATTTATCAAAATTTGTATTAAAAATCCTACAGATTAAAAAACAAGAATATTTCAGTGTACAACAGTTGAACAAGGAAGGCCACTGAAGTACAGATTTAATTTAAAAACAAAAAATGGTTGATATAGTTTATGAATTTTGTGTAATTAGTTGTTCTATATCAAATAATCATTTTTATCATTTGTCTATTTTTTTCTGTGAATCCAGTCATGATCATTTCTACAACATAAAGCATGTCTTTTCTACACTGATGATGTAATCATTGTAATCATCCTGCCTAATTCTCCTGCTTAGGAACTTTATCGCATTGGAAAATTATTTCACTCAATGGAACGTTGGTTTTTTCTTAGGGGAGAAAGGCTATAGGGATCTCTGGTTCTTCCAGGATAAACAAATCGAAGTTGTGAACGAGTATAAATTTCTTGGGGCCATCTTCACGCCAAACCTCTCTCTGATTCATTTTATAAAGAAAATTTACATGTACAAATTTGCTGTTAATTCGATTTGGTCCAACCTACTCTCAAACCCCTATATGATTTTGCACCCAATTTGAAGTTTACGGTACTTAAGACAGTATGTTGTTCAATTGTGTGCTACGCTTTTGATTCAGTTGAATCCGTTGAATGTTTCTTTATTAAAAAATTAAGGTTTTTTAAATTAAATTCACTAAATTTGTGGTCCGCTTGACCAATTAATATATCACAATTAATTAAGGTTTTTAGTTGAGATAAAAAAGTCAATGGCACGAGCGGGAGTCGAACCCCCGATCTTCGGCTAAATACGCCGCTGCTCTACCACTTGAGCTATCATGACCTCGATCCACTCGGACACCAACTTCCCATCTCAACCCCACCTTTTGAATGTTCCTTCCTTTTTGTCATTTTTCAAATGTCGTATAATCGGGTTGGATTCTCGACGGCAAATGAAATGGCCACGGAGAGCTTTAGTGAAGTATACTTCATTTTTAATCATTAAATTCACTAATTTCATGGTCCACTTGACCAATTAATATATCACAATTAATTAAGGTTTTTAGTTGATAAAAAATGGCAAAAAGGAGGGAAAACTCAAAAGGTGGGGTTGAGATAGGAAGTTGGCGTCCGAGTGAATCGAGGTCACGATAGCTCAAGTGGTAGAGCAGCGGCGTATCTAGCCGAAGACCATGGGTTCGACTCCCGCTCGTGCCATTGACTTTTTTATCTCAACTAAAAACCTTAATTAATTGTGGTTTTTAAATTAATTGGTCTTTGTACAATTGGGAATGTATCACTTTTAAAAATTGACCATTGAGTTGTTCTCAGATTTTCATTAAATATTATCATATGATGTTTATTTCATTAGAGTTTTGCAACAGTCCTATTCTCATTGAAGTTGCCTATACTCAGAGCTTCCTTCCTCTGAAACTTAAAGCTTAAAAAAAAGTGGACAGAATTTTTTTAAAACAAATATATTTTATTTATAAATTTAATCAAAATGCATTTACAAAAATGAATTGTTATAACTATACTTTGACTACGGTTTTGCCAATGTTTTCTCCAGTAAACAGCATGGTAAATGCTTCAAACATGTTTTCAAATCCTTCGACCATTGTCTCTTTAAATTTTAGTTTTCCCTAAAAAAAAAAAAAAGAAAGTTGTTTTCATCAAAAGCCGAATTCGACAAAGTGTGTGCAAAAAGCACCTCTTTCATAAACTGTAAGTTTTTCTGAATCCCCTCGAACCAACGGTCTTTCCACCTGCTCGAAATAAACCCCTGTAGGGTCAACTGCTTCATGACGATCGTCGGTTGTAAAACAGGAGCTGGAAACGTTAATGTTTTTTTATATTGATAAATTACTTTGAATGCTTAGATTTTACCCAGTGGAGGGTCCTTGGGGTCAGAGTTATACACAGAGATCGAACCACAATTGGCCACCCTTCCAAACATGTTCATGTGGTTCATAACATCATTGCTCATCCTTCCTCCAACCTAAAAACCACAACAATTCATAAATTTACAGTAGTGCATGTATAATTTCTAAAATATACAAAAATAAAAATGAAAGCTGCTAAGTTTTAAATCTATGTTCATATTTGTCAACCTTATTTTACTTATGACGTATTCATTGTGGTTTGACACCACAGACACATCATCAATGAGTTTTACCAGGATGACTCCATGGTGATGTCAAGCTCTCTTTTCTTCCAAATTTCTCAAAAAAATATCTGCTTGATAAACAAATCATACAAAAAGGTCCTGCAAGTTTTTAAAGTAATCTTTATGCATAATGGAGTTCAAGACTTTATTGGTTATAATATAAAAATATGTATAAATGTATAAATTACTTATTATTTAACTTATTTTTAGTTCTCACAGACAGAATGTGGCCATTTTTGTCTGCCTCTCTTTTACTTTAAAAACTTGATGCAGAATTATTAAAGATTTATGACACAAAAGGAAAAATTTGTTTGCTGTAACCTTAAACATGTACAAGAGAATAGGTTAACATTTCTTATTTTCATTTACATTGTCAAAATAGCAGTCGACGCCATTTGGAGCTGCTTCCTGCAAAGCCTCCGGTACTGGTTTTGTCTTGTAGTTAAAGGCATAGTCAAAGCCCAACTCTTTTACGAGCATTTTGCACTTTTCATCGGATCCGGCAAAACCGATAACAGTAAGGCCTGTAAAAATAAACATCCAATTATGTTTGCTCTGAGATAAACCAAAAATTAAATTCAAATTTACCAAGAATTTTTCCAATCTGGCCAACCAATGATCCGACAGCTCCGGCAGCTCCGCTGACTACGAGGACTTCGCCGGATTTCGGTTTACATAGTTCTGTCAATCCAAACCAAGCTGTGTTTCTAAACATTATTGTACAATAAAAATTATTTCGTTCGCCGTTTATTCGAATAATGCGGATTTAAACCTTACCCAGGCATTCCTAAAACTCCGAGTGCAGTCGATGGCGAAAACCCGCCCAGATCAGGCAGGACATAAGGTTTGGTCTTTTCGCCAAATGGTGACAAGACTTCATCCGGGTTTTGCACTGTATGTGTGACCCAGCCGAAAGGGCCAAGGACGAGGTCGCCTTTTTTATAATCAGGGTGTTTGCTCTCTAAGACCCTAAAAGGAAAAACAATCAACCAATTTAATAAAATATATACACTTTTTTTTTTGGGAGGGATACATACTTTGCTACTTGTGTGCCGATCATAGTAATCCCTGTAGGCAGCTTGGGTGATATTGCCCTACAAAATTGAAAAATATTAAAAATTAAAATAATGTCTTTTTTTTAGTTTTCTAACTGTTTATTATAGTAAGATGAGGTTTGTTAAAATAACATCCTTATGAACTTCACTAATGAATATCTTTCAATTAATTAAGGTTTTTAGTTGAGATAAAAAAGCCAGTGTCACGAGCGGGATTCGAACCCACGACCTTCGTGAGCCGCTACTCTACCACTTGAGCTATCGTGACCTCGATCCACTTGGACATCAACTTCCCATCTCAACCCCACCTTTGAATTTTCCCTCCTTTTTGCAATTTTTCAAATGTCGTGTAATCTATTTGATTCTCGGCAACAAATGAAAAATGGCAAAAAGGAGGGAAAATTCAAAAGGTCAGGTTGAGATGGTAAGTTAGTGTACAAGTGGATCGAGGTCATGCTAGCTCAAGTGGTAGCGGCGTATCTAGCCGAAGGTTGTGGGTTCGAATCACGCTCATGACACTGACTTTTTTATCTCAACTAAAAACCTTAATTAATTGACATCCTTATGAACTTTTTCATCAAGGATGTTATTTTAACAAATCTCACTATACCACAATAAACAGCTGGAAAACTTAAAAAAAAAAAAAATACACAACATACATTATATTCAATATTTTTTATTTACCTCATATAAGGGTCAACACTAATAAATAACGCTTCAAATAGAACTTCTGAAAACAAAAAGTAAAAAATGACTGTTTACAAAATAATTAATTAATTGATAAATCAAACATTTCAGTTAAATGATTCTTTACTCTTACACTCTTTTTTATACTAATCTATATGTTTAATAGTCACAATTGAATATATTAATTATTTTAATTAATTATACTTTTAAAAGATAAAAAATTAGTGCCATGAGCAGGATTCGAACCCATGACCTTCGGCTCAATACGACGCTGCTGTAACCAAGTCACGATAGCACAAGTGGTTAGAGCAATGGTGTATTGAGGTTAGAATTCGCCTTGTGACAATAATTTTTTCATCTCAGCCAAGACCTTAGAAAAAAAGTATAATAAAAACTGTTTATTTTATTTATTAAAACTGTTCCAATGCGATCATCTATTAATTAACTGACTAATAAATATGCATAAGAGAGATGTTGATATTTGAAGTCAAGTTCTTTCCTTTTCTTTTTGCTGTGGTCTTTACAATTGTTTTTTTTATCTAACACCATGCCTAAATATATATACTGAATTTTGTGGTGGTACTATTATACCGCTGGAAATGATTGGTTTACTTCTATTTTTTTAATCCAATTGGAATGATCGATCTTAGAGGTAAAAAGTGAAACGTTCAACATATTGTATTGGTCAATTAATTAAGGTTTTTAGTTGAGATAAAAAAGTCAGTGTCACAAGTGGAATTCAAACACACGGCCTTCGAGTTATCGTGACTCAAGTGGTAGAGTAACGGCGCAATCAAGCCGAAGGTCGTGGATTCGAATCCTTGAATTCGAACTGACTTTTTTTATCTCAACTAAAAACCTTAATTAATTGAAATATATTAATTGGTCAAGCGGACCATGAAAACTAGTGAATTTAATATTGTATTGGGAATATTGTCTTTAGCTTACATGTTAAACCTTGTCAAATACGATACGTCTAAGAATAAAGCTAAATATTTGTGTATATCTAAAATCAGTGATTCTATGTACTTAATCATTAGTTGAATACTTGGCTTTAAATCCAAACTAGTAGCTTTATATAATATTTTCTTTTTCATGTAATGCTTCAGCCTTTTAAGTACAAGTTTTTCATTATTAATTTCTTTTCTATATTCAATTAGTTAATTCATTTAATATCTATTTATCTAATATCTATTAATTAAATCTGATCTGACTCAAGGGACTTTTTATCAGAGATATAATCCCTGATTGTTTCATTACTCTCTTTTCTATCTCAAATTCAATTAATTCAACTTAAAAAAAGAGAAAAGATTCTGCAAATTGCGATATGATCAAGTCTGACTCATGTTTGCCAGCTTGAGGACTTTTCGTTATAGATTTCATTAAAATCACATTTGATCTTGACTTGCCCAGCATTGGTAAATGAAAAACAGGCCGATTTACCATAATATACAAGCTTAGAATAAATATCAAGCTGATAGAAAATTTTATTTACTACTGATAAAAACTGCTATTGAAATTTAACTTTGTTGGATGAATATTGTACAGTTTAACAAATATCATGCAAAAGACAACAAATTGTGTATTGACTTTTTTTTTCTTTACTTTTATCAAAAATAAACTAATTGAAAACTCAGATAATTTTTTTTACGATATTGACATTCCTCTTGATATTGTGTCAAATACATCAATACAATTTTTTAAAATTATTTTTAGAATACGGTTTATAATTAATATTTGTTTATTGGTGTAATTGACTTTTGGTTTGCAATTGAATTTCTTACATGCAAATCATTTTGGTGGGAGATGTGGCTGTTGGTTGGGTAATCTTTGGTCGGTAGATCCCTATAATTAAATAATTAATTACTAAATCCTGAAGGACCAAAATAGCAGTAAATGAGATTGGCATGTTGTTCGGGCATTCATGTTTACAGATTTTATAATTAAATCATAATTAATTACTAAATGACAAAAGGCAGAAATTGGAAAAAAAAGACTTGTTTGAATTAAGTTTCTTACATTTGCATTTGTTTTTTATCCTTAAAATGCATAAGGCATTATCATGTTCTTAGATTTTATAATTAACTATTAAATTAAGTGTAAGTACTGCATCACAATAGACAGAAATTTTGATACAAAACAACACTATTGGTTTGTCAAAATTAATTTCTTACATTTACACAGTTTTTCTCGAAATTGTGAGCATTGTTTGAACAATATTTGGTGCTGTTTTATTACAAAAACAAAATCTAAAGATGGACAGGGACAGGAAAAGCCCAACGTTGTGTTGGGAGGATGGCGAAAAAATTACGGATAAAAAAACAATTGTAAAACCTGTTGAGAAATCTGTTTCAATGCCAAGGCCAGTAATTCAGGAAATCCCAAGCAATAATGAAAGTAGTGAGGCCAAAACTTTATAATTTATTTTTAGAAGTACAAGAAAATGTCGCTGGCTAAATGCAGTTTTATTCATACAATCGTACGTAACTGTGCCAGTTCAATTAATTTTTTTATCCCGTTAAAAGTTGGATGGAAAAAAATTGCAATATGTGTAAAATTTACAATAAAAGTAATTTCAATTAATGATTTTTTGATCTAAAGTCTTGGTTGGGATGAAAAAGTTAGTTGTTTTTATTTTTAGATAGAAAAGATCTTTAGATAAAAAAGTATAATTCATTAAAATAATTAAATAGGTCAATTGTGACCTATAAACATATATGGATTAATAAAAGTAATTGTTATTATTCAATTAATTAAGGTTTTACTTGAGATAAAAAAAAGACAGTGTCACAAGCGAGATTCGAACCCACGACCTTCGGCTTGATACGCCAACTCTACCACTTGAGCTATCGTGACTTCGATCGACTCCAGGCACCAACGTTTTCTCAACTTAAAAACCTTAATTAATTGAATGATATTAATTGATCAAGTGGACCACGAAAAATAGTGAATGTAATTGTTATTGTATTTGTAAGTTTGTTTGTATAAGTATCTTTATTTTTATATGTTTTTATAAATCACAATCACAAGTTTTTATTTTACCTGGTACAGTTATATTTATTAAATAAATTCAGCCAGCTATAACTACACTTTCTTGCTTAGCAGACTTGTTAATATAAAAAAATAATATGTTTTAATGTGAATTATTCATAAATCTCTTGCACTAAAAAAATTATATAATTAATTTAATTATTTAATTTAGTAATTAATTAATTACTCAATGACTAAAGGCAGAAATTACAGTAAGATTATAGGCAAAACTAAAGTTTGAAATTGAATTTTTTACATTTGCATTAGTTTTTTAGCCTTAAAAATAATTTTCCTGGGAGTTCTGTAGGTTGTTTGGATACTTATGTTTGTAGATTTTATAATTAATTATTAATTACTCCATCATAGCAGGCAGAAATTGTGTACAAAACGACACTGCAAGTTTGTGAAAATTAATTTCTTAAATTTATATAATTTTTTCCGGAAGGTGAGAGCATTTTTTGAACAATTGGTGAGTAGTTTCTAAAATTAAATAATATTTGATTACTAAATGATGAAAGGCAGAAAATGACTATCGGTTTATGAAACTGAACATCCTAGATTTACGTTTTGTTGGGAGATTTGAGACCATCTTGGAAATTCGTTGGATGTAAATGAGGTAACAGATAAAACTATTGTGGAAAGAAGATAACACAGAGATACAAACGAAGTATTTTATGCTAATCTGCTGGAAGCTTAAAATAGAAATGGGAAAAACATAGGCCCAACTGGCTAATACGAAATATAAAAATTCGGTCAAAGTTTAAACAAGAGACTATTTGCAAATTCCGGCGGCCACATGTCCAAATTGTTATTATAAAATCTAGATAAAAAAATGAGAAGAGTTTTAATTTAATAAATCAATTGAGAAATTTACTTTTTTTGCTTGTTTATCTATTTAAAAAATATATATTGTAATTATGTTTTAAAATGGTCGCCTACCTCGGTCTTTAACCGGCGGCAGGTCTTGCTCGACCAGCTCGAAGTCCGTCTTCTTTGGTACACCCTCAAAGTGTTTTTTGAACACGAATTTTTTCGCTTTCATCTTAAAAAAAGAAAATGCAAATTGGACTCGGTCTCTTTTTCCAGAAAGGTATAAAATTCGAGGTACGTTTGAGCCTGTGTCCGGTTTTGAACTGAGCCGGATCCAGTGGGGGAACCAAGGCCAGAGTAACTAAGGGGACGTTGTCGTGACTCGTGACTTTTCAAACAAAGACACAATTGTTGTTCAACTTCAACCCGTTGAATTAAATATACCAAGTCCGATGTGTGATCGGTTTTTCGAATATTACGGAATTTGAAAATAGGGAGATTATGAAAAAAAAAAAAAATCTGGGAAAGTTCATATTCACACCAACAATCATGAGGTCAACTCGACAATCCTACAAAAGAAATTAAACAATAATATTCGTATATTTTGTATAATTTTATACAGTTCTCTTTCTTCAAGTTTGTTTGTTGAAGTTTCCATTTATAAAATAAATATTTAAGTAAATAAACATTACATCAAACAAAGTGGAAGGTTTTTGCTTAAAAATGGCACTTAAAAAAAAAATTTATTTGGCAACAAACAATTCGAGCTCTTTATTAAATTCATACTTTTTAGGCTCAGCATTTGCACTTATTTCAATTATCTCACTCACTGCATCTGCTGTCGCAGTTATTTTATTCAAATCCATAAATTACCTCTTTAAGAGTCAGTATTATACAACATACACTTCTTAGTTGCCACATTTATATCTTTATGAACAAAAATCCACCTGAGAACCAGCTAAATCAACTTAGACAAATAAATATCAGCTTTGCAGCTAAAAAACGCCGATATTTCGACACAAAAGTAAATAACTAGCCACCACGGGGCTTCTTTTGCTTTTTTTATCGTTTGGTAAATTTTTGAATATAATTGCAATGCAAGATGAGGCTTGGGTTCGTAGGCCAATACATCCGAACAAAAAGATTGAATATTTCTACAGAATTATGTATAATTTTTAATACTTTTTAAGTGAATCTCTCATGGCTTTATCAAAATTTCTCAATCCAAAATTGGACTTAACCTTCAAGAAAATTACAAATTAAGGTTTTAGTTGAGATAAAAAAGTCAATGGCACGAGCGGGATTCGAACCCACGATCTCCGGCTTGATACGCCGCTTCTCTACCACTTGAGCTATCGTGATCTCGATCCACTCGGACACTAACTTCCCATCTCAACCCCACCTTTTGAATTTTCCCTCCTTTTTTATCTCAACTAAAACCTTAATTAATTTGTAATATATTAATTGGTCAAGCGGACCACGGAATTAGTGAACTTCAAGAAAATCTTTTGCACTGAGAAAAACAAGAACATTCTTATCCATTTTCTCAATGATATCTTAGGATTTACTGACACAGCCATGATACAAAGAATACTTTTTAAACAGTTCAAATTATATTTTCACAGACACATCATTTAAAAATTTTATTATTAAGTTATACACACTGGGATTCTTGAATAGAGCTCTACTTTCCATAATTGGGTGTTCTACTCCTTCTTTCTCCAGATCCTGGTAGAATTTATTACTGGCCGCAGTGAAACATTATGTGCGTTAGATCCTCCTTTACTCCGCATGTGTCTAAATTAGGGTGTTATTTTATGCCGATCTTGTGAAGATACGCTGCGCAGATGCCATAGTTTGTTCTTAACCGATGTATGGTGGTTATGTGTTTTTTTGCCATGTCTAGCTTGTTAAACCACGGTTTTATATTTCCAAGTGGAAATAATTTTTTATAGGCCATTCCCTTATCCGAGGCAGAATATTCAATTTGCCATTCTATTTGAATTCTTGTTTCCAATAATATTTTTTATATCTTCAATGTCTTCCTGGGAATGTTCTTGGACATTTTTTGAGAGCAGTTTCTATAATTACATATTAATTAAATAATAATTAAATATGCCATAGGAAAAAGAAGAAATTGTGCTAAAATAGGTAATTTTTACTTTGAAATAAAACTTCTTACATTTACATCGTTTTGCTTGAAGATCTGAGCTTTTTTAACAATATGAATTTACAATTAAATATTAATTAAAAACTGAATTAAAATTTTATTATTTGTGTTTACTAGTCATAGTTTTTTTAACTTCTATAATTAAATAAAATTAATAATTATAACAAAAAGTTAAATTATTATATAAGTGCAGAACAAATACTGCAAATGTTTATAATTAATTAATACAAATACTAATTTGATGGATCATTAAAATAATGATTATCAATATATTTATTCATCGGTTTAATCCATCATTTTAATGATCCATCAAATCCTTTCCTTGTTTCTTTCTATTCTGTACACTCTTTAGTGATTTCAATTTAGGTCCATCACTGGTCAGTAGTTACTTAATCTGCTTAAAACCAGAACCATTAGTTGTGTGATCTGGGCAGATAGCTGATTCCAAATTAGGAATAGTGGACAATGGATTTTAGGACAATCAAATCCATGGATCTGTATTTAAGTATTTCAGCTGCTTAGAATCCTTAACCTTACAATAATTATTTGTTTAAATCTGATAGATTTTTTTTCAAATGGAAAGGATTAAAGCATAACATTGAAATAACTGATGTTCATGGCAATTTCACAGTCCAAATCCACGAAGGGAAAACAGATTTGTACATTTCTGCGATTTCTGAGCTGCAACACCATGAAGATCCTCTTTTTTGTTTTTGTTTTGCCTATGTCTATTCTGGGAGAAGACAAATGTATATACTTTTGTTATAACATAATACAAGAAATTTATGTAATTTTTTGTACAGTTTGTAATTTTAAGAACGTCAAAAGGAAATTGAACGAGAGATGGCTGGTTAGTACATGCAGAGTGGCTGTATGCGAAGAATCAGAACAAGGCGGCTTACAAGTGAAACTTATCTCGTAAGTTACTTGCTTAAGTCACTTTTCTTTTTTTGTCGGGTTTCATTTTAGGACTGGAGGATCGGGAATGGTCTTATTCCACAACCAACGACACTGCGACGTGTCGAGCAGGTCGAAAATCACTGATGTGGACAACTGCGCCGCCGATAGCTCAATGAACTGCCCAAGTAGGTACGCCAAATTAAAATTAAACACCTAATCTAAAAATCTTCTCTCAGCCGGATGCTTACACGAAGGCAAGTACAGAAGACACGGAGAGACTTGGCCGGTCGCGGGATGCAGGGGTGCATCCTGTTGGGCACCTGACAATGGACCAAAACATGTGACTATCATCCCGTAAGTTGTCTATGCAGTTGAATTTTAACAACGAAACGATTTATTTATTTATATTTTTAGCTGTCAACCCGTCTACACTGACCTTACTCCGAGTCAGGTTGATCAAGGCTGCAGAATCGTTTTTAATATGACAGAAGTTTATCCTTCTTGTTGCTATCCTAAAGTGGTGTGCGACAATGCACACACAAGCGACAGTTTCAGAGTTTGAAACAAAATATAATATGACGAGTACGACTACTGGGATTAGGGCGAGGCTTGTTTGCCAAAGCAGTGGGTCGCTGCGTTATGAACTGTTACATGTTTGAATAATAAGACTCTTGAATACGTCAAATTTGCAATTATTTTCTAAAAGACATCATCATACGCTGCCCAATATTGTACCGAAGTGAGAAAATGTTCCGAGTTTCAGCTTTGAGTTTTCCGCAGTCTGCAGGCTGCAGATAGAGTCGGGTCAGACTAATTGATATTCGGTGCCGGTGGTGCCTGGCTTGTTTTGGACTGAACGGGCGCCAGTCCCAGACTGCGATTTTCAACTTTTGAACCCCCTTTGGACCATCACCAAATCCGATAAATTAGACGGGTCGTCACCATATATAAACCAAATGCTACGTACTTTAAATCAATATAACTCTACATAATAGAAAAATAAGATTAATAATATAATAAGCACGGTTTTAGTTCAACCTTCAAATTGATTTTTGATTCCATGTATCACAGTAAACATCTGAGTTTTGCATTAATTAAGCAGTGCGAGTAGGCCTGGAAAGGAAATTGGTCAATTGCCCACAACTCGCCACGCACTCGGCTTAGACAGTTTTCTTCGTGCTTAAAAATTGTGCGTTCGTACAAACTGACTTGGGAGGATCGACACGTGCTGAGATCTTAGCTTTTGTCATCTCTTTTAGAAAAGTTTAAGTTTTAGTTTATAATTAATAGGATGGGCCCTGTTGAAATTAGGCCTAAAGATTGCTCCTCGCATAAAGGTCAGACGTAAGCTGTAAAGTAGAAAGCCTACATTCTTTCCAGTCCACTGCAAAGAAAAACTAAATTTTCCTTAAAATAATCAACTATTTAGCTAATTCTGTAGAGCACTGAGGAAGGTTTAATAAAAAGCCAAAACCTTGACAAAAGAGATGACTACTTCATTTTCGACCACCTGATACCAACCATCAATTGTTAATCATCGCAGGTCGAAAATTCTCTGTGTTATATTTGGCTAATGTTAATTATCAAACAAAAAATCAAAAACATATATGTATAAATATCGCAACAGAGACTAAGTAGAATATGGGGACATATCCTAGCTATGGCAGTTTGTGAGATATAAAAAAAGATTTGTTAAAAACCAAGATTTTGTTTTAAATATCTAAGAATTTAGGTAGTTTTGGGCAAATAAAATTTCAACTGTATGAAAATTTCATCATAAACCCATACATGTTTAGCGGCCATAATTTACCATATAAATTATTTCAATTAATTCCTTTTCGCTAAGGTCTTGGTTGAGATGAAAAAGTCAGTGTCACGAGCGGGATTAGAACCCACGACCTTTGGCTTGATACTACTCTACCACTTGAGCTATCGTGACTTCAATCCACTCTGAACACCAACGTTTTCTCAACTTAAAAACCTTAATTAATTGAATGTTATTAATTGATCAAGCGGACACAAAAATAATGAATGTAATTGTTATTGTATTTGTAAGTTGGTTTGTATAAGTATCTTTGTTTTTATATGTTTTTAGAAATTGCAATCACCAATTTTTATTCCTGGTACAGTTATATTTATTAAATAAATTCAGCCAGCTATAACTACACTTTCTTGCTTAGCAGACTTGTATATGTAAAAAAAGAGTAGTTTTTCACAAAAAAGTTCATAAATCTCTCGCAATAAAAAAAGATTATATAATTAATTAATTATTTAATTTAGTAATTAATTAATTACTCAATGACTAAAGGCAGAAATTACAGTAAGATTATAGGCAAAACTAAAGTTTGAAATTGAATTTCTTACATTTACATTTCATCATAGTAGGCAGAAATTTTATACAAATCGACACTATAAGTTTGTGAAAATTAATTGCTTAAATTTACATAATTTTTTCCAGAAGGTGAGAGCATTTTTTGAACAATTGGTGAGTAGTTTCTAAAATTAAATATTAATTAAATAATATTTGATTACTAAATGATGAAAGGCAGAAATTGACTATCGATTTATGAAACTGAACATCCTAGATTTACATCGTTTTGCTGGGAGATTTGAGACCATCTTGGAAATTTGTTGGATGTAAATAAGGTAACAGATAAAACTATTGTGGAAAGAAGATAACACAGAGATACAAACGAAGTATTTTAAGCTTAAAATAGAAATGGGAAAAACATAGGCCCAACTGGCTAATACGAAATATAAAAATTCGGTCAAAGTTTAAACAAGAGACTATTTGCAAATTCCGGCGGCCACATGTCCAAATTGTTATTATAAAATCTAGATAAAAAAATGAGAAGAGTTTTAATTTAATAAATCAATTGAGAAATTTACTTTTTTTGCCATGTTTTAAAATGGTCGCCTACCTCGGTCTTTAAATGGCGGCAGGTCTTGCTCGACCAGCTTGAAGTTTGTCTTCTTTGGTACGCCCTCGAAGTGTTTTTTGAACACGAATTTTTTCGCTTTCATCCGAGGCAGAATATTCGATTTGCCATTCTATTTGAATTCTTGTTTCCAATATTTGAAAAAGGTCTGTATAAGGGATCTTTATGATTCTAGGCATGGGTAACTGTGTGGCATTTTTTACTCTTTTTTTTGTGGGTAGTATCTATAATTTAATAATAATTAATTACAGAATAACAAAAAACAGAAAATGCAGTTAAAAAACTGACAATATTAGTTTCAAATATATTTTTTAAAATCAGCTCCGTCTTGTTGGGAGTGGCGAAAGTTTTGGCTATTTTTGTATGCGGATTCCATAAACAAATAATAATTAATTTTGGCACAACAAAGAGAAGAATTTATAATGGAAAAATACGCTGTTAGTTCAAACAGAATTTCTTATATTTGAATTTTTATAGTTGAATCTATTTACATTTAATTAATTAATTTTTTATATATCTGCAATGTCATCCTGGGAATGTTCTTGGGCATTTTTTGAGTGCAGTTTCTATAATTAGATATTAAATAATATTTAAATATGCCATAGCACAAAGAAGGGATTGTAGTAAAATAGGTAACGTTTTACTTTGAAATAAAATTTCTTACATTTACATCGTTTTGCTTGAAGATCTGAGCTTTTTTGACATTATGAATGTACAATTAAATATTAATGAAAAATTCAATAATTTCATGGTCCGCTTGACCAATTAATATATTAAAATTAATTAAGGTTTTTAGTTGAGATAAAAAAATCAATGGCACGAGCGGGATTCGGACCCACGATCTTCGGCTTGATACGCCGCTGTTCTACCACTTGAGCTATCGTGACCTCGATCCACTCGGACACTAACTTCCCATCTCAACCCCCCCCCCTTTTATCTCAACTAAAAACCTTAATTAATTGTAATAAATTAATTAAAAACTAAATTAAAATTTTATTATTTGTGTTTACTAGTCATAGTTTTTTTAACTTCTATAATTAAATAAAATTAATAATTATAACATAAACAGGCAGAAATATTGCGAAAACAAGCCACTTCAGGCTTGGAATGGAAAGGCCCTGGTTTGCTGTAAAATGTGTATGTAGCGTTTAGTTAGAAACAACTGAATTTTCGAAAATTAAATATTAATTATACAATAATTAATTAGGACGTAACATATAGGGAAAAGTTATTAGTTAATTAGTTTTCGGTTTCATTGAGAAATCTGCTTGATGGATTTTTATTTAGTAATTTTTTTATTGGACAATTGTATAATTACAATTAAATTAAACTGCAACCTTACAAAAGGCAAAAATTATGAGCATAAACGACACTTTTTGTTTGTGATGGAATCTGTTCAATTATAACTGGATTACTGGTAAATCTGTAGGTACCGTTCAGACATTTTTCTTTTTAGATTTTTTCCATTAACACGATCAATCAAATATAAATTAATTATGGACTAAAATAAAGTATAGTAAATAAAGAAATCATAAAACTTTTTTGTTTACGTTTGAGTATTATTGAAAATAATTTTGTTTTTGTGATTCTATACATTCACATTGAGGAAAGGAGTGGCATAATAAATTAAAAATTCTGTAAATCCTAATGGTTAATTAACTAATTAATTAATTATGAAGGTAGAAATTATTGTAAAACAAATATCACTTTCGTACGGATATTGGATTTTGCAATTGCTTTGTCTATTTGTCAGTTGTATCATTTTTTTGTGTCGATCAAACCTGTTATTAAACCTGTTCTATTAAACATAATTTATAAATATATTTATGATGTATGTATTATAACAGTAAAATTTACCACAAAGTCTAAAACTCAACATGTTAAAATTAGAATTTTCCCCAGTTTGTTCCGCTCACTTGAGACAAATTTCCAATTACATGCACACATTTGGGTGCAGTGATTAAAGAAAAAGTAAAAATGTTCTTTATAAAATCACATCAAGCTGTTTTTCTTCTGATTTTAACTTTTAAATCTACTCTTGCGGATAAAAACACCACCCAACAGAATGTGAAAGCTAACAGTGAGTCAAAACTTTAAATTATTCTTGATGGTTCTTTTGTCTGGATTGATTTTTCCATAAAAACTGTAATCAAAATTGTATTGTTTTACTTTGAAAAGAAACGTATTTATTAGAATTCCAGTATTGAAATCATAATAGGGCTTAAAACACATCCTTTCGCTACAGCCCTTCATGCGCTTTATTTATTTTAATTTTTTTATCTACCAGTGTGTCCCATAAATGATAAACTGATCGGTGAAGGCTTGACAGAAATGTTGGACGGTTGCAGAAAAGTAACTTGCGTCAAAGAGAGTACCAATACCACCCTGTTGATCATTAAATCGTAAGATTTTCCCTTCCTTGAGATAAAAAACCAAAAACACTATATAGTAATTTTGTAGATCAGGGGCTGATCAAATATATTTTAATGATGACGAGAAGCACTGTAGCATTGATGTTCCCAATGACGGCACATGCAGCAAGGTAACAAAGGAATGCAGGGGTATGAATTTATGATGTTTTCAACAGAAGATTATTATAGAAGATTATTATTATTTTTTTTTTTTACTTTCAGCATTCTGCAAATTTGAAAACCAAACAAAGCTACATGGAGACTCCTGGTTCATTGAAGGTTGCAGGAGAGCAACATGTTTTGCATTTGAACCGTATAACTCAACTAAGATAGAAATTGAACAGTATGTCTTGCAGGGGGGAAAAATAAATAAAAATAAAGGATAGTTTACATTTGCTCATGTTTTAGATGCCAGGACATCATCATTGTTGAAATGACTAAAGAACAACAGGATAGAGGTTGCGTCTTCAACGAAAACTTTGACGGGTTTTATCCAGTTTGCTGTAGACCCTGGGTGGAGTGTAACGGTGTCAAAGAGCTAAATCAGATTGTAAGATACAGAGGAATGTACGATGAATAATAACAAAATACAACAAGAACATTGACAAAGCTTCAAGATTTGTTTATAAAAATAATTTTCCAAATTAAAAAACCTCCATAATTACAACTTGTTGAAGGAAAAAATAAATAAACATGGTATGTGGGAGTAAAAGAGGCAGAACTACAACTTAACATACATTGCCATAAATATTTACATACATAATTTTCAGTTGAATTTACTTCAGGAAAAATTGTACATTTGTGGTAGGGTTAAACGAGGTGTACTTCAAATCAAGCTCCACCCACAAGGGATTAAATTGAAGCTTAAATTTTCCAATCAACCTTCGATAAAAATTAGATGTGTTGCTTCAAATCAAGTTCCACCCCCCATGTCTAAATTTTCATAGTTAAACTCTATTAACTAAGGTTTTTAGTTGAGATGAAAAAGTCAATGGCACGAGCGGGATTCGAACCCATGATCTTCGGCTAGATACGCCGCTGCTCTACCACTTGAGCTATCGTGACCGTTTTTTTCATCTCAACTAAAAACCTTAATTAATTGTAATGATTTAATTGGTCAAGTGGACCACGAAATTAGTGAATCTATTAACTAAGTTAATAACTTTAATTCGATTATCAAAACATGCTTTCTACATAACTCAGGTGTATTCCCGATAGGAAATTTTGGGCAAGGTTAAAAAAAAAGGGCTTTATAGGCTCCACAAGTGTTATTAAGTTACCTACAATTCAGTTAGCAAAATATGCTACATACATAATTTTCAAATGTATTTAGGTCGAGAAAGATTGTAAATGTGGTAAGGTTAAAAGGGGTGTAGATTCAAATTAACCTCTATACCTAACCTAAAAGCTAAAAACAGACTTATTCGAAAGTTGTTAAGATTATAAGTTCCATTCGATTAACAAAAGACATAGTCATAATTTTTCATTGCATTTAGGCCAGGAAAGAAACATGTGCATTAAATAGGCTTACTTCAAATCAAGTTAAACCCGAAGAGCTTAAATTTATGTTTAACCTTTCAAAGTCAGACTTCTATAAGATTAATTTAGTTGATAAATGATTCAATTAGAAATATGCACAATATAAATGATTTCCAATTTTATTAAGGCCAGGAAAGATTGTATATTTTTTATCAGGTTAAATGATCTGTAGCATTAAATCAAGCCCCATCCCATTGGCTTTAATTAATGCTTAAACATTCAAAGTCAGACTACCATAAGAGTTATCAAGTTAATAACTGCAATTTGATTAGCAAAATATGCTACGTACATAATTTTTAATTTTATTTAGGTCGAGGAAGATTGTAAATGTGGTAGGGTTAAAAGGGGTGTAGCTTCAAATTAACCTCTATATGTAACCTAACAGCTAAAAACAGACTTATTTGAAAGTTGTTAAGATTGTAAGTTCCATTCGATTAACAAAAGATATAGACATAATTTTTAGTTGCGTTTAGGCCAGGAAAGAAACATGTGGGTTAAATAGGCTTAGTTAAAATCAAGTTCCACCCCAAGAGCTTAAATTTATGTTTATCCTTTCAAATTCAGACTTCTTTAAGGTTTATTTAGTTGATAAATGATTTAATTAGGAATATGTACTATATAAATGATTTTCAATTTTACTAAGGCCAGGATTTTCGATAGGGTTAGAAGAAGTGTAGTTTCAAATCAAACTCCAACCCAAATGCTTAAATTGAAACTTAAGTTTTCAAAGTTTAACTTCCATAACAATTGTTACATTAATAACTGCACCCTGATTTAAAGGGAGCAAAGATTTTTAAGAAAAAATAATGTTCCATGTTAGAAATGGTCAATACTAAAAAAAACTACTGTATAAAACATTACTTGTTTTTTTTAAGGATATAAATTGATTGATCAAATTGTATTAAAATACATAAATAAATAAAATAAAGTGACAATCTAATGATTCCCGCGACCAAATTTTCCCAGTGTCTATCACATTCACATTTCACGATTTTCAGTACATGTCTGTGCATTGTACTCCATGGTTCTTTCTTTACTTGTAAAAAATTGATAAACTCCAACGATAAACTAGGCAAATGTTCAACAACTCGCAGACCTTTTGACAAACCAAAATAAGCAATAAAAAAGTATTACTCAACCTGCTTTAACCTGCATCAAAACAAAGTAAATTCTGTAAATATTAGACCATTTTTGTTTATAATTACAAAACATAGCTTAAAATAACTCAATATTATTTGAATTTTTATGGAAAAATGAAAAAAAAGTTTGATTATTTTTTTAAATATAAAAAGTATATAATTCTTTTTGAACATGTGTCCTTTTCTTTTCATACTTCACGATTTCATAAAAATACTTCACTGTGTATAATAAAATCTAACTGAGCACTCTATAATTGTTTTTGTTGCTATCTTCTAAATCCAATATCAAACCAATACTACTTTTCTTCTTCCTCTTCTTTTTTCTTTATTTTTTTGCACATTTTCTAGACACAAGTTGCTCATAGAGCCCATGTAAGTGTAAAAAAAAATCCATGATATTATATAGGCAAAGACTATCATATTAGCAGAACCAATTCCACAAATAGTTTATAATTAAAATTAATTAATTAATACAAATTTGATGCATCATTAATATAATGAATATCAATATATTTATTCATTGGTTAAGTTACTTAATCTGCTTAAAACCAGAACCATTAGTTGTATGATCTGGGCAGATAGCTGATTCCAAATTAGGAATAGTGGACAATGGATTTTAGGACAATCAAATCCATGGATCTGTACTTTTCTTCTTCTGTACTTAAGTATTTCAGCTTCAGTTGTATCAGTCTGTACCATCATTTCTTCTCGCTGTCATATTTAACCTCAGCCTGCTTAGAATCCTTAATCTTACAATAATTATTTGTTTAAATCTGATAGATTTTTTTCAAATGGAAAGGATTAAAGCATAACATTGAAATAACTGATGTTCATGGCAATTTCACGGTCCAAATCTATGAAGGGAAAACTGATTCGTACATTTCTGCGATTTCTGAGCTGCAAAACCATGAATATCTTTTTTTTTTGTTTTTGTTTTACCTACGTCTATTCTGGGAGAAGACAAATGTATATACTTTCGTTATAACATAACCCAAGAAATTTATGTAATTTTTTTGTACAGTTTGTAATTTTAAGAATGTCAAAAGAAAATTGAACGAGAGATGGCTGGTTAGTACATGCAGAGTGGCTGTATGCGAAGAATCAGAACAAGGCGGCTTACAAGTGAAACTTTTCTCGTAAGTTACTTGCTTAAGTTATTTTTCTTTTATTGTCGGGTGTCATTTTAGGACTGGAGGATCGGGAAGGGTCTTATTCAACAACCAACGACACTGCGACGTGTCGAGCAGGTCGAAAATCACCGATGTGGCCAACTGCGCCGCCGATAGCTCAATCAACTGCCCAAGTAGGTAGCCAAATTAAAATTAAACACCTAATCTAAAAATGTTCTCTCAGCCGGATGCTTACACGAAGGCAAGTACAGAAGACACGGAGAGACTAGGCCGGTCGCAGGATGCAGGGGTGCATCCTGTTGGGCACCTGACAATGGACCAGAACATGTGACTATCATCCCGTAAGTTGTCTATGCAGTTGAATTTTAACAACGAAACGATTTATTTATTTATATTTTTAGCTGTCAACCTGTCTACGCTGACCTTACTCCCAGTCAGGTTAATCAAGGTTGCAGAATCGTTTTTAATATGACAGAAGTTTATCCTTCTTGTTGCTATCCTAAAGTGGTATGCGACAATGCACACACAAGCAATAGTTTCAGAGTTTTAAACAAAATAGAATATGACGAGTACGAGTGGGATTAGGGCGAGGCTTGTTCGCCAAAGCAGTGAGTCGCTGCGTTACGAACTGTTACATGTTTGAATAATAAGACTCTTGAACACGACAAACTTGCAATGATTTTCTAAAAGACATCATCATACGCTGCCCAATGTTGTACCGAAGTGAGAAAATGTTCCGAGTTTCAGCTTTGAGTTTTCCGCAGTCTGCAGGCTGCAGATAGAGTCGGGTCAGACGAATCGATACTCGGTGCCGGCGGTGCCTGGCTTGTTTTGGACTGAACGGGCGCCAGACCCAGACTGCGATTTTTAACTTTTGAACCCCCTTTGGACCATCACCAAATCCGATAAATTAGCCGGGTCGTCGCCATGTACAAACCAAACCCTACGTACTTTAAATCAATATAATTCTACACAATAAAAAAATAATATTAATAAGATAATAAGCACGGTTTTAGTTCAAGCTTAAAATTGATTTTTGATTCCATGTATCACAGTAAACATCTGAGTTTTGCATTAATTAAGCAGTGCGTGTAGGCCTGGAAAGGAAATCGGTCAAGTCAATTGCCCACAACTCGCCACGCACTCGGCTTAGACAGTTTTCTTCGTGCTTAAAAGTTGTGCGTTTTTCGTACAAACTGACTTGGGAGGATCGACACGCGCTGAGATAGCTTAGGCGCTTTTGTCATCTCTTTTAGAAAAGTTTAAGTTTTAGTTTATAATTAATAGGATGGGCCCTGTTGAAATTAGGCCTAAAGATTGCTCCTCGCATAATGACTTCACTAATAGGCCCGAAAGGTCAGACGTAAGCTGTAAAGTAGAAAGTCTACATTCTTTCCAGTCCACTGCAAAGAAAAACTAAATTTTTCTTAAAATAATCAACTATTTGGCTAATTCTGTAGAGCCCTGAGGAAGGCTTAATAAAAAGCCGAAACATTGGCAAAAGAGACGACTATTGTGGACCACATACCTGATACCAATCATCAATTGTTAATCATCGGAGGTTGAGAATTCTCTGTGTGATATTTGGTTAATGTATCAACATCAATTAATTATCAAACAAAAAAACATAAATCTATAAATATCTCAACAGACACTATCTGTATGTAGAATATGAGGACATAATCTAGCTTTGGCAGTTTGTGAGATATAAAAAAAAAGATTTGTTAAAAACCAAGTTTTTGTTTTAAATATCGAACAGTTTAGCTAGTTTTGGTCAAATAAAATTTCAACTGTATGAAAACTTCATGGTAATCATCATAAAACCATACATGTTTAGCGGTCATAATTGACCATATAAATTATTTCAATTAATTATTCTTTTTCGCTAAGGTCTTGGTTGAGATGAAAAAGTCAGTGTCACGAGCGGGATTCGAACCCACGTTCTTGAGCTCAATACGCCGCTGCTCTAACCACTTGAGATATCGTGACTTCGATACACTCGGACACCAACTCCTCATCTCAACCTATAACCTTTCGAATTTCACCTCTTTTTGCCATTACTTCTTTCATACTATTCTCAATTAAAAAACCATGTGCCGGGATTCGAACCCAGGACCGCTAACGTGGCAAATACGAGTCGGAACTTGAAGTCAATTTGAAAACTTGGATCGAAGTCACGATAGCTCAAGTGGTAAAGTAGCGGCGTATTTATCCGAAGGTCGTGGGTTCGAATCCCGCTCGTGACGCTGACTTTTTTATCTCAACCCATACCTTATATAAAGATTAATTAATTGAATTTGGTCAATCGGACCACGAAATCTAATAAATTTAGAACAATTTTACAACTTTGTTTTGTTATTTCTCACAAGCTGATATGGTAGGATATGTGTGACTATGAGACTAACAGAAAGTTTCAGTTGCAACATATTTCTGTAACTTTTAAATGATTGTTTTTTTTTTTCTTGACAGTTACTTTAGAGTTAGAAAGGGCACAGCAATATAATATTCAAGTTGGCGCCCCACAAGCGAGCGTTCTTGGACTGCTCTTAAATTGATTTACACTGGTGAAATTTCCAGAATCTGTTGTCATGTTTACCTAATTTTGTACATTTATGGATTCTTTGTAACATAAATAGACAATATCTTTGACCATTTGAAAAGAAAACTTGGTTTTATATTCGGAGATCGTGAGATGCGGTCTGGTGTGACGTAAGTTTTAGAAAAACATTTTCTTTATCGTGCCAACGTTTCGATCTTTATTGAGATCATCTTCAGTGCCTGGGATATATAAACATGTATAAATTTTACAAATACATGTAGGAGGTGAGAAAAAAATGTATTTGGAAAAATTTAAATAATGTTTATAAATCCCAGGCCCTGAAGATGATCTCACTGAAGATCGAAACGTTGGCACGATAAAGAAAATATTTTTCTAAAACCTACGTCACACCAGACCGCATCTCACGATCTTCGAATAATCATTGACTAACGGTCACTAAAAATCTCACATTTCTACTTGGTTTTAATTTTGATTTTTTGGGTAATAAATTGTTTACATTACTCATTTCCATGCACAAGAAGACCTGGATTATCTATGTATTAATTTTTAAAGAAAACACCAGTATGATATTTTCTTTTCACTTTTTCTTTTCTGATTTTCTTTTCAAACTGTGGAAGTCTTTTCTGCATATCATAATTTTATTTCTGATCGAACGGTTTATTTTAAGTCTTTAAGGAAAACCTTGGTCAAAAAATCGAAGTGGACCTTCGTCGGCGGACCTTCAGAAGAAAAGTAAATATTTAAAACCCTAGCTTTTTGATATAATAAGCAAGCAGACAATTGCTCAATTTAAAATATGAAAATCCAAGTTGAGATAAATGATAGATTTATACCTAATTTTATTATTATCGGTGTGTTTTATGATGTATTTAATTGTTTACTTTTAAATTAACGTTCGCCAGTAGGACTTTAACAAGGATTTTAACGTGTTAGGACAGATAAGCAGACAATTGGGTTCATGCATATGTAAACATTGACATTGAAATGTTTTGAGCCTTTTGAGTGGGAAGCAATGTAATCGCGTGTTGTCGATTCTATTTTAAGACTTGGCGATTAGCGAGTAGTACGAAAATATGTCATTTTTCTCGTATTTGCCTTATTGGCCATCCACAAATACCTGCTTGTCTTTCGATATATAAAAAAATATCTTTATAAAAACTGCGGTAGTTTTGCAAACCGTGGAAGAACGAGTTTAAATCAGTTTATCCTTGGTGCGGTTTGAACGGAGAAATCGAAGTTCCGGGACCTTCAGACAAAGGCTATCGCTTATTGCGAAATAACTAGAAAAATCTGACTATTTCTTGTTTACGAGCGACGTCTTTGCTTTACCTCTGTCTAAAAACGCCCAAATAAGCCTTGCCAAAAAAATCGAAGCCGCGCAAGGTGAAGTTTACCTACAAAGTGACGTCGATAAACTTCACCTCTAAACCGGCAATATTTTTTTACTCCGACACACATCTTAAATTTTCATTGATCCCGACCTTTGGGAAGGCCGGCCGTTAAAGTTCCAGCCCGTTATATCGCCGATAGAGACAAAAAGGCGAGAAAGTCGGTCAAGTCTGAGGAGGGAACAAAGGAGACTAAGTCCATTGTTTACGGCCCCGGCTGGAATCTTGAGAAGAACCGTAAAGAAGCACCTGGTGGGGAACCATTCGAACCGATGGAACGGAAGGTCAAAAAAGAAAGGACAAAGACCCCTTAGTAACATTTAATTGCCTTGAATGACTTACATAATGCGAGACTTAGAGATTATTAATCAAACTAGTCTAAAAAACAGCTTTGTAATGAGCTATAAACATTGAATTAGACATAAACAGGTCCATGCAACGGCTGGGACTGGGCAGTGGGTGCTCCTAGGAGACTCCAGAAGACCCTTCCCAACCCTTGGTTACAAAGGAGGATTCCAGACACAAAATAATGGTATAGCCTTGAGAACTGACACGCCTACCTAATCTCTTGAAATGCGTTAAGAGAGTTGCTGGCTTGAGAGCTGGCCGCGAACGGCGGGTGCTGTAGCAGAGGCATACAGGGGTTACCAGATCATGTCTAAACATATTTTGAATATATATATATATATATACGGACGGGGAAGGGTGCATAAGCATCTGTACTGCGGGGCAGCGTATTTTGGTTCCAAGTTGCCCAGCTGCATGGGTAAGGACTCGCGGTGGTTGAGTGGTGAGACCCCTAGCGAGTACCTGGAGAAGAGGCTGTTTCATAGCCGTGGCGCATGACCTCCGAATTACCTCCCGACATTGAAAGAATCGGATGAATCGGATTACCGAGAGCGTATAGCCAGCGAGGAGCTATAACTACGCTGCCGGCGTCCCTCGAATGATGTACGAGGGTGGGTGCTTGTCGGTGTCGGCACTCTGAGCTGCCTCCTCTAGGGGGTGGTTAGAGATTCCACTAAAATCGAAACCGCGGCCGGAGCGCATCCGGAGGTTTCGACGCTAGCGGAGCCCCTACACCCATGGAGATAGAGTTGTCTTCTCTATCTAGGAAGTGCGTGGGAGACTCGGCCGATGAACTTCGACCACCTTTTGGGTATCCCTTTACTCGCGGCACTGGTTAAGTGCACAATGTTAACCCACCCCTCGGAAGAAGCCACCGGGAGAAGTCAGCATGCCTACCGATTAGTCTGTGAATTTGTGGGCTTCTACACCGAACCTCGCGGAAGAAGCAGATTTTCCGCTCACGTAGGTGAGTCGCTCCAAACTTGAGAATCTAAACGTGTGATAAGGCCTAATCGGCCAGGTGCGCACGCGAAAGAACCTCAATATTACATGACATTGCGACCCCCAATAGGAAACAAGGTGGGGTTGAGAAGTTGGTGTCCGAGTGGAGTCACGATAGCTCAAGTGCAAGAGCAGCAATCTTTAATTAAGGTTTTGGTCGAGATAAAAAAGTCACTCACCAGCGGGATTCGAACCCACGACCCTCGGCTAAATACACCGCTGCTCTACCACTTGAGCTATCGTGACTTCGATCTGCTCGGACACCAACTTCCCATCTCAATCCCACATTTCGAATTTTGAAAAATGGCAAAAAGGAGGGAAAATTCAAAAGGTGGGGTGGTGATGGGACGTTGGTGTCCGGATGGTTCGAAGTCACGATAGCTCAAGTGTTAGAGCAGCGGCGTATTTAGCCGAAGGTCGTGGGTTCGAATCCCGCTCGTGACACTGACTTTTTTATCTCAACCAAAACCTTACATAAAAAGATTAACTAATTGAAAGAATTAATTTGGTCAATCGGACCACGAAACCTAATAGATATAAATTAACTTAGAGCCATTGGTGAAGAGATGCTAAAAACAGGTCGATGAGAAATAAATCGAATTTTAGACTTTTCTGAATAATTTGTAATGTAATTTTTAAATTGTTCGAAATTTCTTAATTTTTATTTATCATGTAATAATAATATGTGTATGCATATTTATGTATAGCATTGATGTATGTTCTAAGTATAGAACGAAACTTACCACGAAACGGAAGAAAGGGATAAATTAATTTTTAATAAAATAATGGTATTTATTGTAAGATATCGGGTTGTCCGGAAAATAATGCAGGATTTTAAGTTTTCATTAAAAAAAATCTATATAAAATATTCTGTTTACGTTTACAGGATTACTCATTTGTATGAATATTGTTTGTTTACCTCTGTAGCATTCCGCTACTTGGAAATAATTCAGTCATCCTTATAATGTCAAAGCGAGAATTTCGTACGATTTTCTTTTACGAGTTTAAACTCGGCCGAAGCGGAGCCCAAACGGCTAGAAACATTAACCAAGTCTGGGGCGAGGGTTGTGTTAATGAGTGCACTGTGCAAAGGTGGTTTAAAAAATTTCGGGAGGGAGATTTCAGCCTTGAAGATGAAGAAGGTCGTGGAAGGCCTTCCTCTCTTAATGATGATGTTCTGCGATCAGTGGTGGAAGAAAACCCCAAAACAACTGTTCGAGAACTTGCAGAGCAACTCAAAGTCAGTAAAACGACCGTCGCTGACCACCTCAAGGCGATTGGAAAAGTGAAAAAACTCGAAAATTGGGTTCCACACTCATTAAACGATCGCCAAAAAAATCAGCGCTTTGATGTTTGTGCATCACTTCTTTGTCGAAACAAAAATGACCCATTTCTGGCCAGAATTGTTACATGTGACGAAAAGTGGATTCTCTACGATAACACTAGACGTTCTGGACAGTGGCTCGACAAAGGAGAAGCTCCAATACATTTTCCAAAGCCCCCAACTCATCAAAAAAAGGTAATGGTTACGGTATGGTGGGCTTCATTTGGTTTAATACACTACAGCTTCTTAAATCCTGGCGAAACCATCAATGCTGAATCATACTGTAACCAAATTAATACCATGCATCAGAAATTGGCAGTAATGAAGCCCTCTTTGGTCAATCGGAAAGGGCCCATTTTGTTGCATGACAACGCTCGACCACATGTGTCACGTGTAACGTCACAAAAATTATTGGAGCTTGGCTATGAAACTTTGCCTCACCCACCCTACTCTCAGGACCTCTCGCCTACTGACTACCATTTTTTTAGACACCTGGACCACTACTTACAACACATAATATTCAAAAATCAAACGGAACTGGAAAATGCATTTATTGACTTTATCAATTCTAAAAATTCTGAATTCTACTCAGACGGAATTAATAAGTTACCAACACGTTGGGAGAAATGTATTGAGAGTATGGGAAATTATTTTGATTAAAGAACATTGCTTTAAAGTAACTAGTTTCTTTTTTTTTTGTTTAATACCAAAATCCTGCATTATTTTCCGGACAACCCAATAATAAATGGAATGTCCGTGGAATTTGTGACGTGAAATCTTTGGATCATGTGGTATTTCTTGATTTATTTATTTTTTGAAGTTGTAACATATGTTACTGACTGAACTCTGAAGCCCTGAAGTTTTATTTATAGTTGGATACTTTTGTCTCGGCCTCTTCTGGAATGGCGGGGAGGAGAAAAAGGGAAATTTCGACGTCTTCGACGGGGAGAGGCTCCGTCCGGCCCCGCAGTTCGAACGAAAGGAGTCCAGCACCAGTTAAGCTCGCGCAGTCGAAAGCGGAGGTCACGCCCGACGGCCATCCACACGACGCGATTTCTACTCGAGACACAGGTTGGTCGATTTCTATTTTGACATTAGAAATTATTTTTGAACGGGCCAGGACGGAATTTGAATAATTATTTTTTTTAAATAAAGTAATCTTTATTGGCCAGGATCTCACCGACGGGATGCTGCGCGATCCAAAAGTACCACCAAAAAGCGAAATTTTTAAACTAATCCTTAGGTTTTTATACTGAACAGAAAACCCATTTAAAAAAATTCTGTAACCACTTGTTTAAATTTTCCATCAAGGATTTCCCTATTCACGGGCATGTTCATCCCATATCAAAGAGTAGTCTGATTTAAAACAGATAAAATCGAGGATCAAGGCTGTCTTTGTTTTATCTCTGAGATCGTGTCTGATCTCTTCCGCCTAACTTATAAAGTATCTAAACGTTATTTACAACGACTGTTCACCTTGCGACGACAACACTTGGAAAGACTTTCACCTTAACGGGTTATCGCCGGGTTTAAATTGGCTGTAGCGCTGATTTTTTAATTTTTTTTTAAGCCGGGGAATATTTTATTTTCGAAGCCCCACTACTTCCACTTTAAAAAAAGTCTTAAGGTCGAAGGCAGTTGAAAGCTTTTCTAAATTACAAATAAATCACAGTAGAATTATCTCAGCCTTTCCTATCTTACAATGTTATTTCACGGTAAATTGTAATATGTATTGTACAAAAATACATAAAATTTAATATTTTAACCATTAAAAAATATCAACTTTCTATTATTAGGAAAGAAAGAAATAAGAATAAATAAGGAAGGAAAGCAAGCAAGCAAGAATGAGAGAGAGAGAGAGAGAGAGAGAGAGAGAGAGAAAGAGAGAAAGAGAGAGAGAGAGAGAGAGAGAGTGGTGAGAGAGAGGGGATAGATAGATAGACAAAAAAGAAAGACAGAAAAATAAAACAAGTAGTAAAGAATACAAAAGAAGAAAAATACAAAAGAAGAAATAAATAAAAATATTCAACAAAAAAGCTCGCAAGGTAGAAAGGAAGAAAGAAAAAATTAGAAAAAGAGAGAAAGAGAGAGAGTGAGAGAGAGAGAGAGGGGGAAGGGGAAAGATAGATTGACAAAAACAGAACAAAAGAAAGATATCAAGAAAGGAGAAAAGAAAAAAGGAAATAAATAAAAATATTCAACAAAAAAGCTCGCAAGGTAGAAAGGAAGAAAGAAAGAATTAGAAAAAGAGAGAGAGAGAGAAAAAAGAGAGAGATGGATAAAAGATAATGGATAGAAGATAGATATGTAGATAGATAGATAGGGAGAGATAGAGAGTGAGAGAAAGAGAAAGAGAAGGAGAGAGAGGGAAAGAGAGAGTGAGAGAGAGAGAGAGTGAGAGAGGGAAGGGGAAAGATAGATTGACAAAAAACATAGAAGAAAAGACAGATAGGAAGAAAGGAGAAAAGAAAAAAAGATAAATAAATAAAAACTAAACAACAATAGCACGCAAGGTACAAAGGAAGAAAGAAAGAGTTCGAAAAAGAGAGAGAGAGAGAGAGAGAGAGAGAGAGAGAGAGAGAGAGAGAGAGAGAATAAGAAGTAAGGAAAGACAGAAAAATTAAGATGAAATGAAAGAGAGAGGGAAGAATAAAGTAAAAAGGAAAGAGAAAGTAAATGAAAAAATTAAACAAAGAAAGAAAAGAAGTGAAAGAATAAAGAAGGTAAGAAATAAAGGGAAGCGAGAGTAGAGGAATAAGAAGTAGGGAAAGACAGAAAAATTAAGATGAAATGAAAGAGGGAGAGAAGAATAAAGTAAAAAGGAAAGAGAAAGTAAATGAAAAAATTAAACATAGAAAGAAAAAAATAAAGAAGGTAAGAAATAAAGGGAACGCGAGAAAAAATAAAGTTAAAATAAAGATAAAAGGATGGAGAGGGGAATTACGCAAAAAAGGTAAGAAAGAAAGGGAAAGCGAGAGTGAGAGAGAGTGATAAAGAACGAAAGGGAAAGTGAGCGAAAGAAAGAAAAGAAAAAAAGAAAGAGTACAAATAAGACCAAGAGGGGGAGTGAGGGAGAGAGGTTGAAAGAAAAAAGAGAAAGAGTGTAAAAGAGAGGGAAATAAAGAGAAAAAGATATATATATTTTCTTTTTTCTTTATTTTGTATATGTGTGTGGTGTTTTTCTTCTTCCTATAAAAGCGTCGGAATGAATCGCATCGCCTAGAAAAGCGTCGAGCCGTGACAGGAGTTGCGACACAGGACGCGGCGTGAAACGCGAAAAACGCCTACCAACAAAAACAGAGAAAAATGTTTTCTTTTTCCCCCTTTGCTTTTATGGTTTTTTAAAAACAAAAACTCTTTCAGGTCGTTTAATGGGAGAATTAAAACGATAAACTCATCGGCTTTCATTTCTTATCAAATATGATAATCTTAATTTTTCGTCGAGATGCTTTTTTTTCATTATACATACTTACAATTATTATACAAACACAATATACAAACAAAATTTGAGATTTACAGTTTTATAATAGATTTTTTATAGATTTTTATTACATTTATGTTGAAAATAAGTAAAAATAAATAGAAAATATACAGGTTTCTTTGTTCCACGATATCTTCCAGCTTATCATTAATAATGTGATAATTTTAAATTTAAATAGCCTGATCAGTCAATTTCGATTCAACATAAACAAAATGTGTTGTTTATTTTGAACAATATCGATTAGTTTCAATTAATTAATTTTTAAGTATGGTATTGGTTGAGAGAAAAAAGACCTTCGGCTGTGTCCGAGTGGTCGAAGTCACGATAGCTCAATTGGTAGAGCAGCGGCGTATTTAGCCGAAGGTCGTGGGTTCGAATCTCGCTCGTGACACTGACTTTTTTCTCTCAACCAATACCATACTTAAAGATTAATTAGTTGACCAATATGTTCTCAAACAACTTGCATGTTCTCCTGTTTGGAATCTTTAATTTTCAAAGCCATTTTTCACTTTTAGAAACAATCCTGAGCTGTATTTCTTCTGTTTTCTGTGTTTTCTCATTGACAGAAAAAGATTTCAGGCTGTTTATTTATGATAAAACACATCCGTGAAACGATAACCAGGAAGGAAAAACAGTTACGGTTTGTTTGTTTCGGACAGACGATTCCGGTCCGCCTGTTTTCGCTGTGCGTGGCTGTAACGAGACGGTTTGGCGGAATTCCATCGATAAATGCCGAAAATTCTGTTTTTAAAGGATTTTACGCAGCTTCGCTATAGTCCTGGACCAGTTGAAAACACCTGACGCTGTTTCAACACAGCATTCATTTTTTTTTTTTTTTTTAATAAACCCAGGGTTTGAACAGGCGTCGAATAATTTGTAACCGCCCCTATATTGCCTTCTGACTCAGAAGTACATGTTGGAAGCTCGAAAATAACGTGAAATGTGGGAGAGGATTTAAAAATAAGGCTTCCCTTGGGCGGAGGGGCACCTGCTCTCATTACTGGCCGAGATCCACTTCGATAATATGTTAAAGTGGAATGATTTAATCATTCTTGCTATTTAGCACTGATTAAAATATAAAAACAAAATCGCTTTCAACGAACGGTTTACGTCTTGAACAATTGTAAAATTTTCAAACTTCCTTTGATTTATAGAAGACACTATGCAGTTGAGCAACCTACAATTAATTATTTTTTAAATGATAAGAATCTTGAAAAAAAGCTTTTCTGACTGAATGTAGAATTACAATAAATATTATGTATAATCGTATTCTTTTATATGGTTAACTCTGATATCTAATAAAATTGTAGAATTTGAAAAGAGTTCCTGCGTTTTTTGTGCATTATGATTTAATAAAATGTCTAAAAGAGCTCGATTTTAATTTTAACAATTTTACTGGACGTAAGGATATAATAAAACAGAATGATCAAAATTGTACAATTTTGCTAGGTATCAGGATTTAACAAAACGAGTAGAAGAGAGCGATTTAAATGTTTAAAATTTCGCAGGATATTAGGATGTTATAAAACGTCAGAAGGAGGTTGGTCAAAACTGTATAATTTTACTGGGTATCAGGATTTAAAAAAACGAGTAGAAGAGTTCGATTTAAATGTTTAAAATTTCCCAGGATATTAGGATGTTATAAAACGTCAGTAGGAGCTTGGTCAAAACTATACAATTTTACTGGGTATCAGGATATAACAAAACGAGTAAAAGAGCTCGTTTCAAAATTTTAAAAATTTCCACTGGATATCAAGATGTTATAAAATGTCAGAAGGAGCTTGATCAAAACTGTACAATTTTACTGGGTATCACGATTTAACAAAACGAGTAAAAGAGCTCGATTCAAATTTTTATAATTTCCCTGGATATTAAGATGTTATACAACGTTAGAAGGAGCTTCATCATAACTTTACAATATTATTGGGTATCAGGATTTAACAAAACGAGAAGAAGAGCTCGATTCAATTTTTTATAATTTCCCTGGATATTACGGTGTTATAAAACGTCCGAAGGAGCGGATCAAAACTGAACAATTTTACCAGGTATCAAGATTTAATAAAACGAGTATAGAAGAGCTCGATTCAAATGTTTAAAATATCCCTAGATATTAGGATGTTATAAAATATCAGAAGGAGCTTGGTCAAAACTGTGCAATTGTACGGGGTGTCAGGATTTAACAAAGCGAGTAGAAAAGCTCGATTCAAATTTTTAAAATTCCCCTGGATATTAGGATGTTATAAAATATCAGAAGGAGCTTGGTCTAAACTGTACAATTTTACGGGGTGTCAGGATTTAACAAGACGAGTAGGAGCTCGATTCAAATTTTTAAAATTCCCCTGAATATTAGGTCGATCATAACTTTACAATATTACTGGGTACCAGGAGTTAACAAAACGAGTAGAAGAGCTCGATTCAAATTTTTAAAATTCCCCTCAATATTAGGATGTTGTAAAATATCAGAAGGAGCTTGGTCAAAACTTTACAATTTTACCTGGGTGTAAAGGTTTTAACAAAACGAATAGGACCTCGATTCAAATTTTTAAAATTTCCCTGTATATTAGGATGTTATAAAATGTCAGAAGGAGCT